GAAAATCAAACTGTGATTTCCCAAGTCCCTTGGTGAAAATATCTGCTAACTGAAAAGAAGTAGGCACATAGGATGGAGATATTAGCCCTTCATTGATTGCATCACGGACAAAATGACAATCAACCTCAATGTGCTTAGTGCGTTCATGAAACACTGGATTTTTAGCAATATGAAGAGCCGATTGACTATCACAAAACAACTTGATTGCCTGAGGATGTTCAATCCCCATACTCAATAATAAAGCCTTTAACCACTTTAACTCTAACGTAGCGGAACACATGGATCTATACTCGGCCTCAGACGAAGAAGTAGCCACTGTAGGTTGCTTCTTGGTTTTCCAAGAAATAGGAGAATGACCAAGAAAAACAAGCCATCCTGTCAAAGAACGACGAGTGAGAGGACACGTCGCCCAATCCGAATCACACCAACCCTGCAAGGTTAGGTCACTAGTTGCACTCAACAAAATTCCTTGACCTGGGGTACCCTTCAAATATCGAACCACACGCATGGCCGCTTCCCAGTGCTCAGAACGCGGCTCTTGCATAAATTGTGACAGAACATGTACTGAATAAGCCAATTCCGGTCGTGTAACCGAAAGATAAATCAATCTCCCTACCAATCGACGATAGGACGCAGGGTCCTTAAGCAATGGACCATCGACAAGGCCAAGCTTATGGTTTTGTGGAATAGGAAAACCACTCGGCTTTGCCCCTAACAAACCTGCTTCAGAAATAATGTCCAACGTATATTTCCGTTGGCACACAAACACCCCAGATGAACTACGAGCCACTTCTATACCCAAAAAATACTTCAAGGGACCAAGGTCCTTCATTTTAAAACAGTCACCAAGATAAGCTTTAAACACAGTCAATGCAGCGGAATCGTTCCTAGAAATAATAAGATCATCTACATACACCAAGACATTAATCTGAACTGTGCCTCTAGTGTATGTGAAAAGAGAGTAGTCAGAGTAGGATTGAATAAAACCATACCCTTTCAAAGATGTCGTTAGCTTTGCAAACCAACATCGCGGAGCCTGTTTCAAACCATACAATGACTTCCTCAAACGACACACCAATGATGGATCATAACTCTCAAACCCAGGGGGCAATTTCATGTACACCTCCTCATCAAGGTCACCATGTAAGAAGGCATTGTGAACATCCATCTGATGAAGATCCCAATTTTTAGAAGCCGCAATTGCAAGAAAAGCTCGAATTGTAGTCATCTTAGCCACAGGAGCAAAAGTCTCTCCATAATCTATGCCTTCCTGCTGATGATTACCGAAAACAACTAAACGATACTTGAGTCGCTCAACTTGGCCATTAGACAAAAATTTTGTCTTGTACACCCATTGACTTCCTAGAGCTTTCTTGCCTAGAGGAAGGTGCTCTAAAGTCCATGTGCCATTATCTTCTAAAGCGTTTATCTCTTCTTTCATGGATTGCCTCCAACCCTCATGCTTCATAGCTTCTTTGAAAGATTTCGGTTCTTTGTCATGAACAATGGCTACGAGAAACTTACGATAATTCGCAGAAAATTTGTCACAATTTATATAATGTGCTAAAGGATAAGAGATACCTGAAGGAGTGTTGGAGGACGGAGTGGACTGAGACGGACTATTAGCAAAAACGGAATGAGTGACATAATCTCGAAGCTTCACTGATGGAATTTTGTCACGTAAACCCCGACCCAAAACCTCTGGTTGTGGCGGCTCAGAGGCGACGGTAGACTCCGGCTGGGACTGCTCGGAGCTGCTGGTGTGAGGCACGGTAGACCCAGCGTCAGCAGGCTCGACTGTGTTGCACTGCTGTTGCTCTGCGACTGTTCCTGCGGTCTCTGGATTTCCAGCGGTTGGAGCAGAATCTGGCAGGACCTTCTGCCCAGCCGTGGAATTACCTGCGGTCGCAGGTTGCTGCGAGTGAGGGGCAGCATGCTCTGTGCTCGTGGCTGCCTGCAAATCTGTAATTTCCCCAGCATTTTCAACACTCAAATCCCCCTGATTATCATCCAACAATTCATACTCTAGAAAATCATCATCCACCCCCCCATTGATGTCATCATGGGACACAATATTCACATCCTCCGGAGTACCATAAGGAAAAACATCTTCTACAAACCTCACGTCTCGTGAGACAAAGAACTCTTTGGACTCAAGATCATATAATTTCCATCCTTTTTTTGCCAAAAGGATAACCCACAAAAACACATTTTCTACTACGACTCGCAAATTTGTCACCCTTAGTCTTTTGGTTATGAGCAAAACAAAGACAACCAAAAATACGAATGGCATCAAAATACGGTGGTTTATCAAACAATATCTCAAAGGGAGTTTTGTTTTTTAACAATGGGGTAGGAGTACGGTTAATTAGATGAACTGCGGCAAGAACACATTCCCCCAAAAATAGATAGGTAATTTTGCTTGAAACCTCAAAGCTCTCCCAACTTCAAGAATGTGTTTGTGTTTACGATCAACCCTCCCATTTTGTTGAGGAGTTCCCACACATGATGTTTGAAAAATTATTCCAGTGGTACTAAAATAATCAAACAAGCAATTAAATTCGGTACCATTGTCACTCTGCACAATTTTAATTGTTTGGGAAAATTGTCTATCAACCATTGCAACAAACGACAAAAACATGCGTAATACCTCAGTTTTATCAACCAACAAATAAATCCAAACTGCTCGTGAATAATCATCAACAATTGTCAAAAAATGACGAGCTCCACATGACGAAACGTGTCGATATGGACCCCACAAATCACAATGTATTTTCTCAAAAATCCTAGAAGCTCTACTATCACTTAGAGGAAATTTATTTCTAGGATGCTTAGCACGCATACATACTTCACACCCCTTAACTAAACAATCTTTATTGCTACTAACATGAGGAAGCAACTTAACTACTTTTTCGGAAGGATGCCCCATTCGACGATGCCACAACTCTAAGTTTGATGTTGTTCCAATGACGCCAACATGATGCACCAAGTCCGATTTGCTAAAATAATATAGTCCGTCCCTCCTAGCTCCCTTTCCAATCAGCTCCTTCGCTTGGTCCTGTATAGCACACATATAAGAGTTAAATTGGACAGTACAATTAAGCTCATCAGCAAGTTGAGATACGGAAAGCAAATTACAACTCAAATAAGGGACAAAAAGCACCCCGGTGAGGGTAAGCTGATTCGATAAACGAACAGAACCAATCAAAGAGGCTAACACTGTGTCCCCGTTAGGTAAACCAATGGGACACTCAAAATTTCGTGTATCAAACAACCAAGAATCATCTCCTGTAACATGGTGAGTAGCTCCGGTATCAATAATCCATGAAGTGACATCAAACTTACCACTCAAACGATTTTCAGACACATTGACATTACCAAACAACCCCGTGATTGCTTTCCATTGCTCGCTTGAGAATACTTGACCATTAGACGGTGCACCCGAACCCAAGACTGCATTGGCACGCATCGAACCTTGACCACGGCCAGCCGAGAGTGGCCTCCCCTGGCTGCCTTCGCCCGTGCTAGGTGGATAGCCATGTAACTGAAAACACTTGCTCTCTATATGTCCCCGTTTCTTGCAATGATTACACACTTTATCAGACCAACATCGTGAAGTCTCATGTCCACCCTTTTTGCACTTTGCACACACCAAGCCACTAGCATTACGGTCAGACACCTCACGACCACGGGCTTGACCAGTACGGACAGCAAAGCCAGCTGCGTGCACTGGTTCCTCTCGAATACGATCAAGACCCCTCACAAGTTCATCTTGAGAGACCTGTTGGTAAGCCTTATTCAATGTAGGTTGTGGGTCTTGTGCTAATATGTTAGACCTAGTTTGAGCGTAATACTCGGAACAAAGACCTAATAAAAATTGTTGAAGTCTATCATCCTCCTCACGCCTCTTTTCATGTTGCCTCCCCACATTACATGTACACTTCCCACATTTGCAATTAATTAAAGGTTCAAGTTTAGCAAGTTCATCCCATAAGAGCTTCAACGTCCCAAAATAAATAGCCACTGTCATATTCTTAGATTGTTCACACCTATTAATTTGGGCCTTTAAATTTTGAATACGAGGACCATTAACCACACAAAACCTTTCATGTAAATCGTCTCATAAGCGTTTTGCATTATCATAATTAGAAAGCAAAGATTTTACCTCCGGATCAATCATGTTCATAAGCCATGAAACGAGCATACAGTGCACCACAACCCAATCCTCCTTGGTTGCAGGCGGCACGCAATCAGTGATAGTACCATCCAAAAACCCAAATTTCCTCCGAGACGAAAGGGCAACAAAGATTGCATGAGACCACGAATCAAAATAATAAAGTCACCAGGTCTATCATGTGCCCCTAGATAGAATGGTGAATTGGTTTCTATTTTTTGTGGTGGCGGTGGTGGTGGTGTATCATCACCGGCCATGGCGAAATTTTATGAGAAAAATACTCTGGCTCTTATACCATGTAGAATTAATGAAACAGAAATCTTGGGTATTATTTCTCAGAAAACCACTATATATAATACAAGCTAACACAATCCCAATCAAGATAGATTTAGGAAAGTATCAAAAGATATTGTTAACTACTAAAAATATGCTATCCAATATATCCTAAGATCTTTGGAAAATATATCCTATTTTCCTCAATATACTTACTGATAAGATACTCGAACTGTTGCCACTTGACGAAGCAGCCAAGATGAGTGTGTTGTCCAAACAATGGAGGACCAATTGGTGCTGTCTTAGGAAACTTGTTTTCAATAGGGATTTCTGGAAGCGGCAGAATCGCAATGGCAATGGAAAATTGGAGTGGGAAACATACACCAGCATCGTCAACAATATCTTACTCCGCCATCATGGACCTATACATGAGTTCTTCCTCGAAATCCCTCGCATTCGACAAGATAACATTTATTATAATGAATTTCTCAATCTTAATCCGTGGTTATGTTTTCTTTCAAAAAACGGTGTCAAAGAAATCACTCTCGGAAATATGTGGTATTCTGTAAGATATGTACCTTTGCCATCTCATATCTATTCCTGCATCGAGTTGGAGGAATTGATACTGAACAGGTATTTTATTTTGAAACCTCCACCCACTGATTTTGAAGGCTTTAAACATATTCGCAAACTTGAGCTCGATTCAATAACAATTGAGGGTGATATACTTCAGAGTTTGATTGCGATTTGCCCCAAACTTACTATACTAACGCTCAAGTATTTGGGCATTAATTCAATTAATCGTGAAGAAGCTGCTGAAATAGCTGATGTCATAAAAAATCTTGCAGCTTCTTGTCATCTCAAGTCGCTTCACCTAAGGGACTTCTTCATATCGTCGTCTACGGTAAGTTTTATGGCTGAACAACTTCACGAATTAGGTTCTATAATGTTTTTAATATACTATACATATTGATTATGTCTATTTTGTTGTGCTAGCTCTTTGTTGAAATCGAAAAAATGAAATTGTTTCCTTTGGCACTTACCCACCTCTGTGAACTGTCTCTGGGAGTACTTGATTTTGATGACTTTGGTGAATTTTCTTGCACTTTCGGTTTTATTCAAAGCTGCCCATCCATTAAGAAGCTCGCTATCAATGTAAGTATCCTATTATGTCCGAACTACTTCAACTGTTTTTTTTGAAACAAAACTACAAGTTTTTAACATTTTGGAAAACAAAATTTTGTTAACCTCATGTCCAATAATCTACTTTCAAGTCTTTACCTTCTAATAAGTTGTCTTCTTTTGCAAATTATTGAGTAATATGACGATGATTGAATAGACTTACCTTGACAGATAAGAGCTTATCGTAATGAGAAATTTGGGTTAGTTTTTTAAACAAATGGATCTAATCTTTTAATGGTTAAAATGAAATAAGAGGGATTGGTTGAATGAACAAATGAGTTATTTATATTTTTAATTAATGTTACCTATAATTTATGGTTAAATTAGAGATATTTACATAAATAATTGAATTATGAATTAATGAGTATTTTTATAAACAATTGTCGCCACACCATTTGGCTAACCAAACAAAAGATTTATTGTTTTGTGGGATAGAGAGAAAGAATTAGTCGGCTTATTTAATACTCCCTCCGTTTCATAATTATGTTCCTGTTTCGCAAATCGATGTAAAATTTTACCCATCTTTGACCGCAAATATCTTTAATCTCACATTAGCAAAAATTATAAAATTTAGATATTAATAATCTACTCACCAAAACGAATCAAACTAGATCCCACATGATTATATTTGCTCTTATAGATTAAGAGAAATTTAGAAGATTCTCTCTTTCTTAAAAAAGTCAAAGATTCAAAACAGGAACATCATTGTGGAACGGAGGGAGTAGAAGATTAGAGTTTAGGGTTGTTTTGGATGTGAAGAAGGGTTATTAGATTGTTAAAAAAAATGAAAATGTGAAGTTTTGTCTTCTGATGTGTGTAGGTTGCTTCAAGGGAAGATGTAGAAAATCAGCATAATTATGATTATGACAATAACTATAAATTAGGGCAACTGGTCAAGGTGGATATTAATGGTGTTACAGGTTCAAAACCTGAGCTCAAATTGATTGAATATGTACTTTCCGCTTCAATTGTTCTTCAAAAATTGATTTTTAAAAATTGCCATTTCACATGGTGGTGCGGATGAGCATGCTGTCAAAGCACTGGACGGAGGCAAAAGTGGTTATCACTTAAGACCCTTGTTTTTGACAGGTTGCTTTATAAGTGGTGCAACATCAGCAGTAATATACTTCTCCATCATAATGGTCCTGTATTCAACTTTTGGCTTTATATACCAGACATATTTGATGAAGGGAGTCCGAATATCAACCAGTGGCTGTCTTTCCTTTCAAAAAATTGGGTAAAACAGATCACTCATAGCTTGTAAACTGTTTTGGCAGGGAAGATGGGGATGAATATCCACCACTGCCTTCTCATATATTCTTTTATTTGTCGGGATTTGGTGAAGTTGAAACTTAATTTATTTTTCTGTCTAAAATCTCCAACCAGTGACTTTAAAGGCTTTACAAATCTGCAAAGCCATGAGCTGCTCCACATAGATCTTACAGCTTTACAAATCTTGCTTCATAAAGCTCTTTTGTTGGGTTTGGCATGAGGCATTCAGTTATATATGTACCCAGCCTTAAAAGCTTAGTTATCGAAGCTCTATTTGAATCTCTAGAAATCAGTAATGGCCAGCATCTTGTTAACATTTCAATAAGTTTGGAAGAAGCAGAGTTTGAATTCTTCATGCACCGGGATTGTTGACACCTTCAAAACTCTTGCAGATTCATATAAACTTCGGTGCCTTCACTTTGGGGAAGGTTTGTGCAGGGTATAATTTATATCCACTGTCAAATACAATTTGTCTTTCATATATATCAGAATTGCAGCATATTATACACTTGTATGTTTTTTTCTTTGAATTCTTAAATCAGTTTGGCCCCTAAATATGATCTTTGTTCTGTTTTTTCTATTGCATGTTCTTGGCTGCAAGCGGTTTCCTGAATACGATGCCAATGGCATTTAATCACCTGGATAGGCTTTGCTTGGCTGCTCTTGATGTGCTGACTTTGATATCTTTCAAGTTACTATTAGCATGGTTCAAAGTTGTCCATGCATCAAGGAGCTTGATATTGAGGTGAGCTAATTATGATTGCTTTCTGAGTTTTTAATGACTTAACTAGTTGATCTGACTTGCAAGTAACAACAAACTTGTCATAATTATATAGCCTGTCGCTATTATAAAGGCTTCCAGGTTACAGCAAAACATTCCTATGACATAAACCGTTGCTGTTGCAGCCTTCAAATTCCTTTTTCACGTCTTTCTTTTGTGGACTGTTGTATAGAATAGTGAAATCTCACAAGAAGTTAATATCATGCTGTTTCTAACAAGATTTTGCCATTTTAAAGTTTAATGTCAAGTTTAAAGTTGCTAGAATTTGGCAGCTCCGTTTATAAATTTATACTCGTATGAAACTAGTACGTAGTCATTTTTGTGTAGTTTACGTGTTGTTGGATTGTGACGAGTACGTATTATATTACCCAAAACAAGCATTGTATATTTGTATGTATTATTAATTATTATTGAGGATATATTTTTTAAAAGATAATAATCGGGAATATTTGGTGGTTATTTGGAGTGTATCTTTTATATTGTTTCTTAATCTCTAATATTACCAAAGGTATTGTATGTATCTCTAGGGTTAACATTGTATATATATTGTTTTTTGTTTCTTGAATGAGAATTAAGCAATCTTACCAACGATATGGCATGCATCTCTAGTGTTAACATTGTATATATATCGTTATTTGTTTCTTGAATGAGAATTAAGCCGTATGTTCACACAAAAATTAACAATTATTTATTTCCATCCATTACACCTTTGGTCTTCAAACTCTAATATCAAATGGTTTTTCCAATAACTACAAATGTCGAAGATCGCATCAGCAATCTGCCCATGGTACTCATTGATAAGATACTCGAACTGTTGCCATTTAGAGAAGCAGTCAGAACGAGTGTGTTATCCAAACAATGGAGGAATAATTGGTGCTATCTTAAGAGTCTTGTTTTGGATGACGATCTCTGGAAGTGGAATTTCCGCTTCAAGAAAGTAGATTATTAGGAAAAGATATATTAGTATATTTACTAAATCTTATTTTGTTTGGCAAGATATATTTTGTTGATATATTTTCTAGCTTATCTTAGGAAAAGATATTGGAAGATTTTAGTTTCCTAGTATGATTATACTTCCTTGTAGCGCAAGGAGAGTGATTGTATAAATATTTGAGGCCTTGGATGAATACAGGCAAGTGATTGAGTTTCAATCTTATCATGGTATCGGAGCTAAGGTTGCTTCAATAAATTTTTTTACCATTCTACCACCATGGCTGGCGATCCACCGCCACCACCACCAACAAAAATAGAACCTACCTCTCCATTTTACCTTGGACCCCAAGATCGTCCGGGCGATTTTATCACCTCTCAAAGACTAAAACTTGATAATTTCAATGAGTGGTCTCATGCAATCTACATTGCATTGTCCTCGCGACGGAAATTCGGCTTTCTCGATGGCACTATCACGAGCTATACTCCTCCTTGCACAAAGGATGATTGGGTCATGATACATTGTATGCTCGTTTCGTGGCTCATGAACACAATTGACTCGGAGGTTCGTTCTATGCTATCAAATTATGACAATGCCAAAAAGTTGTGGGATGACTTGCAACAACGGTTTGGCCTCATCAATGGCCCTCGCATTCAGCAACTAAAATCGGAAATAAGTCGATGTGAGCAGCCCAAATCGATGCCAGTTGCGGTGTATTTCAGCAAGTTATCTGTTTTGTGGGATGAGCTTGATAAACACGAGCCTCTAATCAATTGTAAATGCGGCAAGTGTACGTGCGATATTGGGAAGCAACACGCTGCAAGGCGTGATGGTGATCGACTCCAACAATTTTTGCTTGGGCTAAATTCGGATTATTATGCTGCATTACGCTCTACCCTGCTTTCTCAAGATCCCTTGCCGACCTTGAATAGAGCGTTTCAAACTATTTCCCAGGAGGAACGTGTTAGGGGAATCTCTAGCCACAAAGAAGAGCAACCCGAGGTGGCTGGTTTTGCGGTTCGAATGGAGCACACCTCCAAGCCGCGTTTGTCCTTGGCCGAAAGAGCTGCGATTGAGTGTACTTTCTGCCATAAGAAGGGTCATGATACCACCACGTGCTTTGACAAACATGGGGTCCCTGCTTGGTATATTGAGAAATATGGTACAAAATAAAATAATAAGGGGCCTAGTCGTGGCAGAGGTGCGCCTATTAAGGCCAACGCCACCCTGCTGCGGCAGCTCCACCTTCGGCATCGGCTGCTCCGACTCTCACTGCCGAACAGTGGCAGGCCTTAATGGCCGTTATGGGTAACACACCCCCACCACCCCATCGTGTGAATGGTAAGTGGATCATCGATACCGGTTGCTCCCATCACGTAACCGACAATATTTCTTGTTTATTGGAGGTTCATGATGTGCCTTCGTGCAATGTAGGACTCCCGGATGGCCAGAGTGTAGTTGCCATGAAAGAAGGGGTTGTAAAACTAACGGACAAAATCACCCTTTATAATGTGCTTTTTGTTCCAAAATTAAATTGTAACCTAATTTCGGTTTCACAATTGTGCTCCACTACTAATTGTGAAGTCATAACTAACTCTTCGATTTGTACTATACAGGACCAACGCACGAGGGAGGTGATTGGAACGGGTGATCTAATGGATGGACTATACTATCTTCGGGAGGAAGCATCATTAGCGGCTATTTCAGTTGAAGACACCTTGAAGCTATGGCATAGGCGTTTGGGTCATCCTTCCGAGAAAGTTGTAAAGCTACTTCCTTTCCTTAGTAATTCTAGTGGTCATTTAAATTAAGATTGTGAAGTGTGTCATCGTTCTAAACACACTAGAGACAAATTTCCTTTAAGTGAAAATAAAGCTTCCCATATTTTTGAGATAGTACATTGTGATTTATGGGGACCATATGCCGAACCCTCTTCTTGTGGTGCTCATTATTTTTTAACTTTGGTAGATGATTACTCTCGTGCGGTTTGGATTTATTTATTAATTGATAAAACGAAGGTATTTAAAATATTCATGTCATTTATTGCTATGATTGATAGGCAATTCTCACAGAAAATAAAAATTGTACGGAGTGATAATGGTAACGAGTTCTTTTGTTTGAAAAACTATTTCCCAGTACAGGGAATTTTATTTCAAACCTCTTGTGTAGGAACCCCACAACAAAATGGAAGGGTAGAAAGAAAACACCAACACATACTTAATGTTGCTCGTGCCCTTCGATTTCAGGGGAGGTTACCAATTTATTTTTGGGGGGAGTGTGCTTTGGCTGCGGCTCATGTTATTAATCGTACCCCTTCGGTCCTCCTAAACAATAAAACACCCTATCAAATGTTGTTTGGCTCCCCACATTTTTTTAGTGAACTCCGTGTGTTTGGGTCGTTGTGCTTTGCTCATAATCAACGGGCAAAGGCTGATAAATTTGCGAGTCGTAGTCGTAAATGCATCTTTTTTGGTTACCCCTTTGGGAAGAAAGGATGGTATCTATTTGATCTTGACAAAAAGGAATTTTTTGTATCTAGAGATGTTCGTTTTTTTAAGATGTATACCCTTATTTAGATGCCGTAGGCACAAATATAGATGTTGCTACTGATGATATGAATGCGACTATTACTTTGGGTGATGATACGGAATATTTTCACCCGTATGATGAGGGCAACGATGGCCAGCCACTGCTGCCACCACCTGTGGCTGTGCCGCCGCTGCAGGTGGGAGGGTCACCACCGCAACAGCTGCTACGGCAGCAGGAAGGGAGGAGGAGCTTGGGGATGCCACGACACCCGGTCTAATGGGGTGTGGGCATCGTATTAAAATTCCTTCGACAAGATTCAAGGGCTTTGTTGCTCATACTAATGTGGCTCAAAATAGTTCATCCAAGGATCTTCCTAATCCAGTCATTCCACCTCCCTCGGGTATGTCGTATCCTATAGCACATTATGTTAGTTGTGATAAGTTTTATGCAAAACACCGAAATTTTGTTGCAGCAATAACAGGTGGAAAGGAGCCTAGATCATTTAAAGAAGCTATGCAAGATAGTGGTTGGAAACAAGCAATGAAGGAAGAAATGCGTGCCCTTGAGGATAATGACACATGGACCTTGGAGAAACTACCTCCCGGTAAGAGGGCTCTTGGAAGTCAATGGTTGTACAAAATTAAATACAACTCTGATGGGAGCATTGAAAGATTGAAGGCGAGATTAGTTGTCTTTGGTAATCATCAAACCGAAGGCATAGATTATGATGAGACATTTGCTCCCGTTGTCAAAATGACCACAGTTCGTGCATTCCTTGCCATTGCCGCTACAAAGCACTGGGAATTACATCAAATGGATGTACATAATGCGTTTCTTCATGGTGACTTGAATGAGGAGGTATATATGAAACTTCCACCGGGCTTTACCGCCGATGAACCGGGTCTTGTTTGTCGTCTCCGAAAGTCTTTGTATGGTCTCAAGCAAGCTCCTCGTTGTTGGTTTTCCAAGCTTACTACGGCTCTGAAAAAGTGTGGTTTTGTTCAATCGTACCCGGATTACTCTCTATTCACTTATACACAGGGCTCGATTCAACTTAATGTCCTTGTTTATGTGGACGATTCAACTTAATGTCCTTAATTCTACTGCCTTGAAATTGTTCAAAAATTATTTGAGTAAGTGTTTTCATATGAAGGACTTGGGAGTTCTCAAGTACTTTCTTGGCATTGAGGTAGCACGGAGTAGTACCGGTTTGTTTTTATGTCAACGTAAATATGCACTTGATATAATAACTGAGACAGGGCTTCTAGGGTCGAAACCGGCTTCAACACCCATGGAGCAAAATCATCGCTTGGGTCATGATAACAGCCCCCCTCTTGATGATCCAGAACCGTATAAACGGTTGGTTGGGCGCCTTGTTTACTTGGCTGTAACTCGGCCAGATTTGACATACTCCGTGCATGTACTCTCGCAATTTATGAAGGCGCCACAAAGAGCTCACTGGGAGGCTGCCATCCGAGTGGTGCGCTACTTGAAAAGCACCCCAGGTCAAGGCATCTTGCTGCGTACGGACAACGATCTCACCCTCAACGGGTGGTGCGATTCGGACTGGGCAGCATGCCCACTTACTCGTCGTTCCGTGTCTGGCTGGCTGGTCTTCTTAGGCCGTTCTCCTATTGCGTGGAAGTCCAAAAAGCAGCCCACCGTAGCCACTTCATCAGGTGAGGCCGAATACCGATCCATGTGTGCTATAACCATGGAAATGAAATGGTTAAAGGGTCTACTTTTCAGCCTAGGGGTCCATCATCCTCGTGTTATTCCTATATTTTGCGATAGTCAAGCGGCAATTCACATAGCTCAAAACCCGGTGTTTCATGAACGAACAAAACACATTGAAGTTGATTGTCATTTTGTTCGAGATGCAATTCAAGACGGATTAATTACTCCAATCCATGTTCGCACAAATGAGCAACTTGCGGATATTTTTACCAAGGCCTTGGGTAAACAACAATTTGATTATCTTCTTAGCAAGTTGGGCATCTTTGATTCAAGTGCTCCAACTTGAGGGGGGTATTAGGAAAAGATATATTAGTATATTTACTAAATCTTATTTTGTTTGGCAAGATATATTTTGTTGATATATTTTCTAGCTTATCTTAGGAAAAGATATTGGAAGATTTTAGTTTCCTAGTATGATTATACTTCCTTGTAGCGCAAGGAGAGTGATTGTATAAATATTTGAGGCCTTGGATGAATACAGGCAAGTGATTGAGTTTCAATCTTATCATAGATCAAAAATCAATGTGGGAAACATACAACACAATCATCAACAACAGCTTTCTCCATCACCATGGACCTATACACGAATTCTACCTCTACATCCCCGACAACGGACAAAACAACGGTTCTTATCAGAAAACTCTGAATCTTAATGCGTGGCTACATTTTCTTTCGCACAATGGTGTCAAAAAAATTACCCTTATAAATTATCTGTGCTTATTTGCAGCTATACCTTTGCCATCTCATATTTATTCATGCATTGAGTTGGAGGAATTGACACTTTCCAAAGGTTTTATTTTGAAACGTCCATCTACCGAATTTAAGTGCATTAAACATATTCGCAAACTTGAGCTCAATTCAATAACATTAGACGGTGACATATTTAGCAATTTGATTGCGAATTGTCCCAAACTTATTATACTAAAGCTTGAGCACTGCCTCTACCATAAGAATATTGTTATAGATGCACCAAAACTGGAAAACTTAACTCTAAATGTCTCTTCATCTATTGGATTGTTGAGTTTCAAAAATATTCCGAACCTTGCTAAATTAGAGCTATCTTGGTGTGATTCATCAATTACTGATCGCCAAACTGCTGAAGCAGCTGATGCCATAAAAAAACTTGCAGCTTCTTGTGATCTCAAATCCCTTTTCCTAAGGGACTATAAGTCTAATAAGGTAAGTTTTTTGGCGGAAATACTTGTCGAATGTATAGTGTATAACTGTATATAATTAATATGGTGCTATGCTATACAAATTGATGCATTTTATTTTGTTGTGCAAGATCTTCGCTGCAATTGGAAAAAAGAAAGTTTTTCCGTTGGCACTTGCACATCTCTATGAACTGTCTCTGGGAGTACTTAATTTGAATGACTTTGGTGTATTTTCTTGCACTTTTGGTTTTATTCAAAGCTGCCCATCCTTTAAGAAGCTCGCTATCTCAGTAACTATCTTATAACGTCCAACCTACTTCAATTTTTTAGTACTATTTTGGAACTGAAAATACCTTTTAAGTTTCTTATTTTGCAAATTATATAGTAATACCGAGTACTTGTTTATCTTATTAAGAAGAATGAATCTTATTGAGAGAAATAATTAAAATAATAATATGATTATTTAAGGGAGCGTTTGGTTCACAAAGTGGTATGGGTTTGTTAATAGGAATGAAAGGTGGTATGAAATCATTAGGAACTTGATTCTTAATACTGTACATTGTGTTTTGTTGTTTAAGAAATGTTATTTTATTTTTATTTGATACCATGAGTCATACACATCTCTGTCCTTGGGTTTCTAAATACTATACCATGTGAGTTTTTTTGATACCATTTGTCATACACACCTCTGCCTTTGGGTTTCTAAACACCATACCATTTGAGTTTGAGGTATGTGTTTAAAAATTGAAATTTTTTTAAATTACCAACAAAAAAATGATACCTATTTCAAAAAAAAAAAAACCCATTTATTTTTTTTTTAAATTTTACCATCCCTTAAATTTTTATTTTTATAAAAAAAATATAAAAAAAAATAAATTAAAAAAAAATAAAATAAAAAAAAAACTACTTAGATTCCCACTTTTTCTAAATTTTAGTGGTTTATGACCGATTATCCGTCTTTGGGCCCTAACTCCATTTCCATTTTTTGTTTCATCAACTGCAAAACCTCTTTCCCGCGTCACTTTCTCCATTTTTCTCTTACCTGAAACCACCATGGGAGGCCCTACCTCCATTTCCCTCTTTCCGGTGGTTTTTCCTTCTTTTCTCCATTTTCCTACTTCACTTTCTCTCTCCTCCTTTTTACCTGAAACCACCATAGGAGGCAGAGGAAGGAGCCGTACTCAACTGAAACACTTCAAGCAAAGCAGAGATAACGTATGGAAAAGTGGCTCCAAATCCGACGCCGCTATCGACGGTGAGTACAACTACGGTGATGCTGAAAGAAAACGCAGGGGAACTAAGAGCCATTGAAGACGCCCAATTGATGAATTGTCCCAAGAACTCTAATTCCCAAAAATGCGAATTGAAGTTGGTAGAGGTGTTTTAAAGCTAAAAAATAGCGGTTAGTAGCTGGTTGGGCCCACAGACGGAAAACCTACTGGAACTTTGAAAAAGGTGGAAATCAAAGTAATTTTATAATTTAAATGGTGGTAAAATATAAAATAAAATAAAATAAACGGTTGGTTATTTTTTAAAATGGAGTCTTTTTGTGTAGTAATTAAAAAAATTCCTTAACAATTAGATTTTTCTTAAATAAACGTTAGGGGTATGGATTTTACTCATTTCAACTCCATACCTCATACCTAAATCCTACAAACCATTGCCCCCTAATATTGTTTAAAAAGTAGTATTAAAATGAAGAAAAAAAAGTGATAAATTAAATGCATTTGAAGTATCTTCTGATATATTGATACGCGTTTCAATGTGTAGGTTTCTCGTCCAAACATAAATGTGGAAGTTGAGCACGATTATGATTATGACAATAATTATAAATTGGGTAATCTGGTTGAGGTGGATATTGATGGTGTAACTGCTTCAAAAGCTGAGCTTAAATTGATTGAATATGTGCTTTCTGCTTCAATTGTTCTTCAAAGATTTACTATCAAATTCGGAGCAATTGGTGATGTTGCAGAGTTGAAGGTGCAAAGAAAGTTAAATGGGTTTCAAAGAGCTTCTCCAAAGACACAAATTGTTTTTTAAGAAAAAATTTCAAAGACTTGGTTAATTATGTACTCTGGTAGTAAATTTTTTCTGTGAGACAGCATCCTTGATGCTAAAAAACAACCATTGCTTGATGTTATTTTTCGTTTTCGGTTGTTAATTTTTTTGAAAACAAAAATTAAAAAATAGGAAATAAGAAAAAGGGGTGAATACTTTTTTGTTGTGAATTTCAAAATTATCAAGATTTTAATAAACTTGACTAATGTTTGATTTATTGACATATTCACATGTATCTTGTAAATTAAAAAAACCAAAAAATAGAAAATCACAAGGATGTACCGTACAAACCCTAGGCAAAAGTTTCTAATATATATGAAGTTAAGTCATATAATCATATTAATTACGTTTATTGATACGAGAATTTCACTTCATGCTTATTCCAATTGAGATTTTTATGAACTTAGCCCAGCTTTCATTTCTTATGTCTTCATTCTTTTGCCACTCTTATTCCCTTCTCCGCTCTTGTTTTAGAATTTCTTTGTTTGAACTTACATGGATTGGAAAACCTTTCTGCTTTTGGATTAAAGACAGGTTAGACATGGTAGAAAGTAAGTTATGCCATCAATTCACCATCATTTACTTGGCTAGATAATCCATGATATGACTTACTCGTGGAATTATCTTTATATTCCTTCTGTCCTTAAAAGATTGCCCCAATCCCTTGGTTGCATTCACTTTTTTAAGAAACACAAATGACTTTTAGGGACGAAGGTCGTAAAATAAGTCAAATCATTTTTTTTTTTTTGGCCATGATATTAGAGTTGCATAATGTTTAGGCAGCCAACTAGAGATTGACTTGGTCATGATTTGCATGAAATCTTGTTAAGTTCAACATGGTTTGTAGATTCAGTTTTAAGACTTTAAGAGGGAACTTGGTCCAAGGTTTATTTGAAAACTGGTAACATGGATATCTTGACATCTAGTATAAATCTTGTTAAGTTCTAATTTTTGGAATGCACCAATATCTAGTATATATGCTGATAACTAGATGAAATATATTGCAAGTTTGGACTCGTCTCATGAAGTTGATTTTGAACTCTATCTATTGTGAAGAATTTAACTTTTGTTTCGCTCTCTGCTGAGTACTATACAATGACAATATGTTTCAAACCTTCTAAAAAACACAACATTGTTTGTTAAACTAGGCCAGATTTGATAAGCAATCTGCCAGATATAGTAACTGATAAGATCCTTAAACGTTTGCCATTTCACATGGTGGTGCAGATGAGCGCGCTGTCAAAACATTGTTGACAAAAGTGGTTATCACTTAAAACCCCTGTTTTTTTAAGTAATGTACTTCACCACCATAATGGACCTATATACAATTTTTGTCTATATGTTCCGGGCAAACCTTGATGAAGGAAGTCCAGATAATATCAATCAATGGCTGTCTTTCCTTTCAAAAAACCGTGTAAAAAATCACGATTGTGTATCCTCACCTTATAAAAAGTAGAAGATAGCTCTTAGGAATAGTGTCCTACTAACTATACTCTCAAAAAAGTGTACAAAAATGTATATTTGTTTTTTTAGTTTTTTACCCTCATTAATATGTTGTTTTTTTTCATTAAACCTATCATCAATGAAATTTTTTTTTTAACAAAAAACTTGTATGCTTTTTTTTTTTTTAATGCTTTATACTTCATATGTTATTATTATTATTATTTAAAAAGAAAAAAACTGTACGTACAAAGAGACTGTTTATTATCAAAAGACCGTCTATTTTTACTCCTTCGTGGTTATTCGATCTTCTTATTTACAATATTGTCGTCATTTAATTACAACTATTATTAAGGTTTATTAGCTTTGAAATCTACATTGTTTGATGGCACATGAACAACATTATGGAAATTGAATGAGATTCATATTAAAAAGTGATATTTGAGCAGGTGTTATCAAGAGGTATAAAAAACTTAAAAATCCTAAAATCAAGGAAAATCGATGATAGGAAAAAAAATTGGTATTAATTAATTATGGAGAGAATTTAAGAGGAAAAGTATAACTAACGGAAGAACTTACATTATTAAGTTTTTAGCTACAACAAACATTTCACATTTTAAAACTTCGTATGACCAATGCTCACAAAGAATTCATTTGAAGAAAAACACACTAGGCATTATTGAAACATGTAAATCAATTAAGAGTTCTAAACTGATAATTGCTACTTTAATTATGAAGGAATCGGATGCAAATCAATTAAATACTATTTAATAATAATTTGAAAAAAACACTATCAAACTTTTGAGGGTTTTAAAAAATAACTGTCATAAAAGATTTTTGTGGCTTTCTTATTATATTTCTACATAGCCACCACATAGACACATAAATCAAATAGTATGTATTAAAACTACCTGGTCTACCAACCAAACAAAAGGTATAAATACACGTCAATACAGCTTCTCTGCAAGAGCTAGCCCTTTGCGCGCATCGTGCGCGTAGGCTACCCTAGTTGTTATAAAGGTGTTGAACATCTACAACTACATTATTCTCATACATCTACAACTTAAAGCTTTATATCTAGGATCTCCAACAAGTGACTTCAAAGGCTTTACGAATCTGCGAAGCCTTGAGCTATTCTTTGTGGATCTTGCAGCCGAAACGTTTACCTGAATAACCATGAATTGTCCCCATTTAACTTTCAAAAAGTTGTATTAGTGAACTGGCATGAAACATCTTGTCATCGATGTATCTAGTCTTAAAAATTTAGTTATCGAAAGGTATCATAAATCTTAATCTCTAGAAATCATTAATGGACAACATCTTGTTAATATGTCATTAGATTTGGAGGAAGATTGGGGTTGGAAGATCCAAGCATAGGGGACTGTTAAAACCATCAAGACTCTTGCAGCAAGATTCATATGAACTTCGGCGCCTTCACTTTGGGGATGGTTTGTTGATAGTATAATTTATATCCACTGTCAAATACAAATTGTCCTATATGTATATGTTGAGGATTGCAGCAAATTATATACTACCTCCGATCCAAATTACTCGCAACTTTGGGGTATTATTTGTGAGATATAAAATATTGAGGTGATTAACGTGATGTAGATGTATTTCGTGTTACTATTGGTATGGTTCAAAGCTGTTCCTGCATCAAGAAACTTGATATTGAGGTGAGTAAGATACTAAGATCTATATAATTGATTTGATAACACCCAATTTTCATTTTTCTCTTTGGTAACACCCAATGTTACCAAATATGATGATAACTTTTACAATTTACCAAAGAGAAAAATGAAAATTTGGGTGTTACCAAAGAGAATTTCTCTTTAACTAATTGATCTGACTAACAAGTAACAACAAATTCGCTACAATCATATAGCATATCTAGGGTTGAAGCACAACATTCATATCTTCAATTTCATCTTTTTGTCTTTCTTTCAATGCCTTTGTTTGACGGAATAGTCATTACAATCTCACAAAAGTCGCAATAAGTTAATAACAGGATCGATTTGTCCATTTTTTTCAGTTTTTATATGATAAATAATTGCAAGAAATTGGCAGAGCTATATGTAAGTATGCAACTTCAACCATTTTAATTGTGCAGTGTATGAGAAAAAAAGTACTGTAAAATCAAAAAAATAATAGTTTGAAATGTGGGCCGAATTTGATTAATGTAGGTGAAAAGCTGTGACGTGTTTACAACACTGTCTTGGAAGCTTCGCCCCGACTATGGTGCAATCGGAGATGGTGTTGCCCCCCAAGAATTAACACAACGATCTATCTTAATGTGCACTCAAAAAGAGAGATTAAGAACTCACAATATGCTCATAATTAATTTAGAGGAAAACTGGAAGAAAAGAGAGAGAGGAAGGAAATTGTTTCTGTGGGTATTTTAAAAGCCACGGAAATCAGATTTTTATAGATGAAGGAAGGCATAACTGATGGAGAAAATCAAGCCACAAAATAATTCGTGGGAGGAAAATCAGGGGCAGTTACAAACGTTTAAAAACCGAGTCAAACGTTGTTGCTGGCTTTCGTAACTGAACTATCTCATAAACACTGGAATGTCAGTTACGACTTGGCCCAAAAAGGTAGCCCCACCTCACCGCGCACGTGCCACAAACACGAACCAAACCGGCCGGACGGCGGCGTGCGTAGGGATTCCCCTTCTAGCCCACAACAATAGGGAAAGCACTTCAAACACCAAAGTATAAACACACATATTTAAACCAAGTAAAAACCTTCCTTATCCCATCAATGTGGGACAAAGAGTTATCTTCCAAAAATAAGAAACCTTCCTTCGCATTATTTCCAACACAGTGTAAGTGTACTTGGTGTGAGAGTTCACAGCAAAATGTTGTTATTCCCAGCGGAAACAATAACCAGCACAAAATTGATTTTGTTGGAATTTGTTTAATTGGGCTTAATTGGGCCTAAAATTGCAATACACAAATGGGGTTCTCGTTCCTAGGAAGGGCCTAGAAAGTCCACAATTTATATACACTGAAAGTTGAATTTTCTTTTCCAAAAAAAAAAGTTGATTATTTTTAATGAAAACTTATGTTTACTACATTAATTAAGGTTATATTTTTAGGAAAAAGATGTATGCAGCCCTAAGGACTGCATATAAGAACCTAAAAGTGGAAAGAATTGACAATAAATATACAATTATTACACCGATTTACTCATGAATTGTTGATAAATTCCCAATTTAATACTAAACAAGGAAAGATATTAAATGCTTATGGGCTGCATATAGCATTACCCATATTTTTATTACTCACACCAATTTTATTGCCTGATTGGTACTTTATGGAGTATTTGTTTTATGGATTTTTTGTAAGATTTTCTCACATACTGTTCATATGGTTAAGTTTGAAAAATTAAACATGATAATTTAAATTCCTTCAAATACAATATGTTCATGTGGAACTGTATCCTTTCCATTATACCTGTGGCAAGCAAAATCAAATCTCTTATCTCGGGTTTTGATCCAACTTGTGCTTGCTGTAACCTTGGTGAGGAAACTCCTATACATTTGTTTAGGGAATGCACCAATGCTGCACAGATCTGGCAAATGATTTTTGACAAGGTCAAAAGACCAAAGAATTTTAGCTATGATAAATTCTTTGGTCTAGTATGGAATGATTGGGTGACTTTTAACCTCTCTCAAAATAGCAAATGGGTCACTACTTTCATCCTAGCCCTTTGGCATTTATGGAAGGCTAGAAACAAAAGAATTTTTGAGGATACTGTTTTCTCAAAAATTTCAGTCTTCAATGGTTTTATTATTGACCACCAGATCACTTACCATGTTTTGCAGGATACAATACAGGGAAAGGGAAAAGGTATTGCAGTAGCTAAACCACAGAGATGGATGGGCCCACCTTCGGGATTTGTGAAGTTGAGCGTTGATGGGGGCATGGAAAAATTCTGCCGATGCAGAAGGAGGGGGAGTCATCAGGACCCCATCTGGGGGATGGTATGTGGGGTATTCAAGCAAATACAATGCCATCACTCCTCTTGCAGCTGAACTGTATGCTATCAGGGAAGGGCTAGAGATGGATAAGGAATTTAAGATCAAGTTCCTGGAAGTGGAAACAGTTGCAGAGATTCTTCTAAGGATGTTGCCCTCTGCACTCTCCAATCATCACGATGAAGTAGCTGCTGCAATCATGGATGTTGCCCATCTGCTAAATCTAAAGAGTTGGACTGTCTACGTGGTTCACATTCCAAGGGAGAGGAACAGGATGACCCATAAGCTGGCTCAGTTTTCCATGACCATGAACCTTGATCACAAGATGCACTTCTCAGTCTCTGACTGTGCCTGAAGCTGAGTCAGACTTAGCTGATGTGCATGCTGCAAACTTGTTTGGCAGTGGAAGGTTTGGAGGAAAGGAAGATTTTTTGCTCCTGCTATGATCTAGCAGTGTATGTTTTTAATAGTTATCCTCTTCCTTTTTTGGGAAAAACTTTGGTCTGTAATTTTTGTTTCCACAAAACCTATATACTTTGCTACGGTAACTCTCACTGTGGTGAGATGTTTACTGGGGGTCCTTTTGAAAACTCTGGCAATTAGCCTAATATAATACTTCATCTATTTGTGTTAAAAAAAAATTGTCACTTCTAAGATGTTACAATATTTGTTTCTTTTTAATATTTTTTTTATGAAGTTTCACAAATATTGCTAGGTTAATGTCTCTGTCTACATTATAATACACAATGCACTTTTATTTTTTTATCGGCATTTCCTTATAAGTTAATTCCTTGTATTGGTTTTGAGGCTAATTCATATCGTGTTTCTGGTCTCTTACCTTGAGAAAATCAAAGTTATTAAGTCTAGAATATTACTTCAGAATAGATAAATTGAACATAGCTTAAGTCCATCAGTTCATATCATATAAATTTTGTCTTTCACAACTATCAAGAGCCGGCAAATAGGCAATAACATCACTGATTTAGTGATTTGGGCTGCCCAACGGTCAAAAAAATCTACAATATTCTGTCGTTTCATTAAAGAAATCCTGTTACATTTATGATTTACTGAATTTGGAGTAGACTACTAGACTTTTTTTTTTCTTTTTTTTGAAAAGGTACTAGACTATTTATTAGTGGCACATTGCAACGTTCGAATGAATAAAATTCCAGAGTAGAATATTGTAATAATTTGTAAATGCTAATCGTATCTAAATCTTCCTTGTTTAAGGCATTGTCTGCCAGCCAGTCTGCGACAATCTAACGCTATCGTAAGGAGATATAGTAATTAAGTTCGAATTGCAAAATACAAAGCACTAGATACAAATTTGATATGATATTTTGGTTGACAATTCTTCATAGAAGTCATGAACATCACATAAAGGGAAAACTCTTCTATCATGAATACAACGGCAACTCGAATATTAGGTTATTTTGAGTTTATTGGGTTCACATTATATCATAATTTATTGGGTAATGCTATACATAGCCCTTAGGGCTATATATAAGCATTGAATATACTCTTGGAAAATGTATAAAGTTAGGAATTCATGACAAAAACACGCACAAATCGGTGTAATTAGTATGTTTATGTCATGATTTTCTAAATTTAAACAATTTTTAAGAGTAAATTTAAACAATTTTTAAGAGTAAATTAAATTTAAACCTGGTGTACACATAAGTTATTTTATACATATATGTATTTTAAGGTGACCAATTGATAAGAGTAGTTTCTAAAAACACCAACTTTAACAACAAATGGATAACTAATAGAAAAAAGGGCTTGGACTTTTCGTAAACAATTATTATATAGGTGCCATATCTTTTTAGGAGAAAGTGTAGGATCGGAAAAATGTCTAGATTTGCCTTTTTGAGAGTTATGCTTGTAAATTTATACTATGTCATTTTTTGCTCTTATTATTTATGTGGTAATATTTAAAAAAGCTTTGATCATCTACTGCTATTTTTAATATGTGCATTAAAAATGGCTTAAAATAATAATAGAAATTAAAACAAAATCAGATAGAGGAAGTATTTTGGTACTCCATATTTATATCTTTGACGAATAACATAAATCACATGTGACATGTCACAACTATCTTGTAACAACTCCTTACACACTTTCTTGTATCACTCTCTCTCCCTCTCAAGTCTCAATTGATCTCTCACCACACACTTTTGCATCTATCTCATGTTATGTTTGGTTTTGGTGTTAATCTCATGATATATGTTTGTAGACTTGCTACATTGAAACTTAATTAATTATTTAAGTGCTAAATAGGGAGAAAAAACCTAGCTTTTTCTTTTTTTTTTCTTTTTTTTTTCCAGTGTTTAGAGAGTTACAAAGATGAGGGTGAGAATCGATCCCAACATCTCCTGAAATTGGGAGGAAAGCTATAACCACTTGAGTTATCGTTACTCTCACCTAGCTAATGTATGAGTAACATTACAAGTATTAACAACTACGGTATAAGAAGATAAACTACTAACCGCATAGTATTGGATATAACTCCACTAATCATTTTATTCATCCAAATGAGCGTTAAGGAGCATGTGATCTAATATATGCAAATTAAACCTTCAGTCTTAACTACTAAACAAAGACCTCATTGATCAAATTTAATGTTCGACAAAGAAATAGTAGTTACATTCTTAAACATAATTTAAGTCATTTATATTTTTTAAAAAACGGAAATTTCACCATATACCACTGAGTTTAAGCTTAATTCACCGTATACCACCAAAAACTTTCTAATACACCATATAACCTTCAGTTTTATGGAAATGTCACAACATGCCATTAATGACTAACGGAGGTTAACACCGTTAGTCATTAAGGTTAATAATGTCACGTGGCAGCTTGTGATTTGTTCCCTTCTAAATAATTTAATTTTAAAATAATTATTAGATTAATTATTAAATAAATTAAAAAAAAAAAGAAAAAAGAAAAAAAATCAACCACCACCAACGTTCCCCCAGCCATCCACCACCAACGACACCCCCTACCAGCCACCGCCAACGAACTCCCTCGCCGGTGCGGAATCCGACCAGGACCTCCGCCGGCGCTCCTCCCCTTCCCCTGAACTATCGTGCCTCCCTCGAAAACCCCATTGAATCACCTCAAAAACCCCCCTACCTCCCTCGAAAAACCGTCCCCTAAACGCCGGCCGACGTCGAAACCCCCCTCCCTCGCGTCGGCAAACGAATTCGCCTTGTCCCGATGAAATCTCCACCCCATTGAACCACCACGTATGCCGAAACCCTAAAACCAAAATCTAGGGTTTCGATTTTGGTGTTTTGGGGTTTCGTGGTGGTGGTTTTCGTGGTGAAGGTTAGAGGGGTTAATCGGGGATGGGATGGAGGTTTTCGGCCTTTTTGCGAAGGTTAGAGGGGTTAATCGGGGCTTGGATGGAGGTTTTCGGTGATTTGCGAAGGTTAGAGGGGTTTTTCGAGGCTCGATGGTGTTTTAAGGGTGGTGGTTATGGTGGTTTTGGGGGTAAAATCACCCCTTGACCCAAATCCTACCCCCGGCTAGATTTAGGGAGGAGCGCCGGCGGAGGTCCTGATCGGATTCCGCACCGGCGAGGGAGTTCGTTGGCGGTGGCTGGCAGGGGGTGTCGTTGGTGGTGGATGGCTGGGGGAACGTTGGTGGTGGTTGATTTTTTTTCTTTTTTTTTTTAATTTTTTCAATAATTAATCTAATAATTATTTTAAAATTAAATTATTTAGAAGGGAACAAATCACAAGCTGCCACGTGGCATTATTAACCTTAATGACTAACGGTGTTAACCTCCGTTAGTCATTAATGGCATGTTGTGACATTTCCATAAAACTGAAGGTTATATGGTGTATTAGAAAGTTTTTTGTGGTATACGGTGAATTAAGGTTAAACTCAGTGGTATATAGTGAAATTTCCGTTTAAAAAAATTAACATTTGACATATTGTACCTTAGAAATGCTAGTAATGTTGGAGAGAAACACTATGCACTTGGTCTACTTCAACTATTAAACACTACCTAAGCGAGCTCTTTGACAGATAGATACTCTTATTTTTCTTTCTACTACGAGTAAATGTTTTTACCAATCCAAAAACGCTAACTGCTACTTACAAGACTACAACGTACCACTAAACAAGGCCATGAATAATTTATGATAAATTTATCTTAACAACAAGCACTTTGCTTAAAAAATTAAATATTAATTAATGAAACGACAAAAGCTAACCGATAAACTTAGCAAACATTGACCAATTCTTGCGTGTAAAATGGAACGTAATATCCTTAGAAAATTTCCTATTATCTTACTCCAATCTTCAGAAATACTACGTATATGCATAACATATTATCATCTGTTATGAAATATTTGTGGATATCCATTATCCTTCTTTGTGTCATTCCGGAACAATCTAGATCTAGGGTTTATATTCTTATCCAATCAAACCCTAATATATTGTATGTATATGTACACCTTATCATATGGAATAATATATACAGATTTATTCTCTATCAATCTCTCTTATATTTCTCTCTATTTTCATAACACGTTATCAGCACCAAAGCTCTAATTATTATCTTCTTATGTCGCACCTTGGGAAGAAATTAGAAGGAGATTAATTTTGATCATGGGTTTTGATCTTTTAATAATGAAATCACACGTTTCAAGAATGTCATATCATTTCCAATCCTCATTAATTAATTTGGGACTAATACAAGTAGTCTCACGGTATTAATAATTTGGAATGTTAATAGTAGTGCCGCTTTATTTAATTACAAAGAACTCTCGTATTATTTTTCGGTTGCATTGGTTTGTTTATCTTGAATTATTGCTATACTTTATTTTCTTTTCATTGACGTTTTCATGAGTTACAGGCTAGCAGATGACGTTGACAACATGAATTTGACGATGATAAGGCTGGTTTTTATAGTGGGAAAGATTTTGATATCAGAAAAGTTCATTTTTAACTATCCTGTTATTGTTAATTTTAAGCCTTTACATAATATGTTTATATTGTTTCCCAAATTTCCGTATTTTTATTATTGCTAGAGTTCAATGAGCAATTTAGGAATAGTTGGATTTGAATTAGAAAATAACTAATTAGTAGTTTTGTTTTGACTATGAGTTTTGTTTAATTTGAATATAAAAGGGTATTTAGAATTATTATTGGTGTTAATTTTATGAACGTATGGTTTTCATGAACTTGTATTACATATATTTGCTAGATTTTGGTATTATTTTTCCTATCCGTAAATGAGTTTGGTTATTTTTCTATGCTTCATAGCAAATATGAATGGTTCGATTTAGCAATTATTTACCCATATAATTTGTTTGTGAAATCCTATGTCTAATGCCTTGAATGTTTGTAAATTGTACGAAGTAAGCCTAAGGTACATGTGAAACTATTTATAATTTATGTATTGAATTATGTTTTTATATTTCAAGTATGATATGAAACATGTGGTTTTCCACTAACGTGAACGTGTTAATTTTGGTTGCTTATGTGCTTGTTTCTATTTTCTAATTAAGCTTTATCAGGCAATATATTGATATAATTGACCCGACAGTATAGTTGATTCAATCGATTCAGGTATGTTTTTATTAAAGCGTGAAGTAATAGGTTTTCATATTTTTACCTTTTTATTCAATTATAGTATTATGTACCTACTTGAAGTTTGATTATTGGAATAAATGTAAATTGAATACGATGTGCGGACCTGAAGTTCCTTATATTTATAAAGAGTATTCACACTAGCTTGAATATATAAATGGCTCAAAACCCTTAAGGATAATACAAAGAAATGAGCATGATCTACAAAGCTAAAGCATATTGCTTAGATTTCCACTACATACTAACGTGATTCTACAAACACAATGTCATGTTTACCTTCTCTTTCTGAAAAATGTAGATGGATTGGTATATATTCTCGTACATATGGACTTGAAGTTCCTTAATTAATTAAATATATAGCAAAAAGTGTGTTATGAGTTCAAGTAATTAAACATGACATTGTGAGAAACTATACATAATCAACGTTTTATTATGCCCATAAATATAAGAGGTTTTGTTTTTTTTAAGATGAATGTAATTGGGCATGAGGAACATGATAAGTGTTCTTTAAGTATAATTTTATATAAGCATGTTTTTGCTAAAAGAAACACTTTACTTGATACATACATGACATTGCCAAAAGAATTTATGGCTTAAAAGTTGCAAGGATTTTAAAGGTTGTTGGATTGATTCATTCCATACCCCCATTTGCAAGGATTAGGGGGAGAGTGTATGTAACCCTTGCATATAAATAATAAAATATATTGATGGTCAGTTTGATACATACAATAACTTAAATATCAACGATTTATTTAATAGAAGTGGCCACATGTTCATTAAATAATTTGAAATGATACCATCCTGAAGGTGGATATAAACAAATGACATTTATCATATACTAGTTGTAAATGCTCTAATTTAAAATTGATGTCCTAAGAGTACAACATCAATTGTTGATGAACCTATAGCACATCTGAAGCGTGATAAATCAATAGGTTCTAAAGATAATTAAGTATTTTTGAAAAGGAAAGGAGTCACTATTGACAATGACAAATTTGAGGAAGTGGTAAATATCATTATATTTCTAGAAGAAATCACTTTTAGTAAAGTTCATATGTTTGATTATATATAAAAGACTCCAAAAGAGTATGAAATATCCAACAAAATTAACATGTATCAAGTTTATAGTTTAAACTCCAGCAGAGTATGAGTAATTATTGGATAAAATATTAATCGATTGTCTTGCCAATTGTATAAAGAAACACATGTTGGTGTTCTAAAATCACATCACATTCATGGCCATGCATATAGTAAGTTTAATAAAGTGATCACTAGTGTTGAAAACTGACCAGAGTTCAAATTTAGAGAAGTGATTGGATGTGATAATTAAATTAGGCCATCCGGTTTAATAATAATTACTCGTAATGGAAATCTGAAGTTTCATTTGATAATGTGCTGACGCTTTCTCAATGTTAAATATATAAAATGAATTGAATGGCAAGACGTAACATTGAGATTGGGTTACATTTGGATTGTGAGTTATAATAATTTGTATTGATGAAATTTCAAGATTTAATATGTTTTGATTTTTTTTTTTATATATATATATATAAAGGAGTAATGGCTAACCAGAAGTTCACCAAAATAACTTATATATTATTGTCAACTATCAAGTGATTAGAAGCTCACCAAATATACTATTTAAGTTTTTAAAGATCCTGAAGATCATCACCAACTAGAATTACGAGCAAGTGATTTATGCTTGTATAACAATTTTTTTGATTGGGGCTATTATATGTCAGCACATATGAAATAGGAGAAGAAAGAAAAACGTACAACTGCACAACATATGTCTCCCCATTGACATTGATCTCCAGAAGAGAAAATATTATTGAAAATTTAATAATAAATACACATGAATTATAAAGTTAATGAATAAATAATTCTTCATTGAAATTGTTCTCCAGAAGAGATAAATTTTGATTGTGATCCTCCTAATGAAGTGAATTTTATTAATGCAAATTTGTCTACTAAGTTGGTATATAATAAGATGCCCCTATAAATGAGATATTTTACAAACTTAAGGGGAGAAGAACGAATTAGAAAAAGTTGGAAAAATTAATTAAAATAAATAAATAATAAATATGATCCCTATAATGGTAGTTTGAAAATTTATATATATGCCAACTTTTGTATATACATTATCAAGATATGTTGCACATTTACGATTTGATTTGTATTTAGTTATGACTCATGTTGCATAGCGTTGAAGATACATTTTGGTCATATTAATTATGTGTATACATTGAGATAAAATCTTGCCAATTGTACTTGAATCACTACACCTGAAGTGTAGGTTGTATATGATCGGTTCCAAAATAAAGATATGTTTAATAGATATGATATTTGGCAAGATAGTGCAGTTGACACTAATAGTGTAATAGTATATAAATATCATAGTGTATGAAATACCCTAAAAGTGGTATAGATATCTGAATTATTATAATAGATGGCCTATGATGTAAGAAAATATTATGATGGTACCAATGAGAAATGTATTCAGATATCATAGTAAAATAGCATGCGGAAAGTAAGTTAAAGGAATTTTATGATACCGGTACATAATGGAACCAATGAATAACATGCATATGCATAATGGAATGAAATATGGATTTTTAAATCCACAAGTAAGGGATCTGAAATATATGTACATTTTGATGTTGACATAATGATAATGATCATAAGTTTATCATGGACCCGAAGTCCAATGAAATATGGATTTTTAAATCCACACTGTACAGTGTCTTGCATTATTTCGAGTCTTATATGCATATGTAGGAAGTTAGATGCATTACTCATTGTATAATTTGTTTATATGTTGTAATGTTTTATATATCTCATATTGCATGGATTAATTTCATATAATGGTTGTGGTGTATGTGAATGTTCTTTCAAAGTATAGTAAGACATATTTACAACTTTGATGAAAAATTAGAAAGAGATATTTATATTCCAATGGGCTTATAATTGTAATGAAATTATTGATGACACTTATTTAATAACATGTTATGAATCATGTAAAAGGAGTTCCTGAAGAACTTATATACGACGTATTAAATGTCCAACCCTACAATTTTTATGTCTTGAATATTGCAATTGTTATCAAACTCTTGAAAAGTCCTTGTGATTACATTATTGACATCTCAACCTGAAGTTTGAGCATATGAGAGTTAGTAAGATTTACTATTTGTTTTTACAAGAGAGCTATCATGTCAATCATGAAACATCTAAATAATATCAATGGAATACTTATGCACGAGAATGTTTTCTCATGGTCCAGAAGAATCATGATTAACGTACATAATTAAATATGTTATATTATAATTCATATGAGATTGAAGAATGACATTAATAATATCAAGTTTTGTCATCAAATTATTATTAATGAATGTTAAATCAAATAATGATCACCAATATTTATTACTAACGACTTCCAGAAGAAGTCATAACCGCATGAGTTTAACCTTTTTAATCAACTATTAAATAGAGATTTGGAATGGTGATACTGGAGATAAACACATATATGGTGAAATGAAGACACTTCACATGTTCGCGTGAAGACTTGAAGAATTGAAGATGCAACTTCAGCTTAGGAGAGTCGAAGATTAACAAGTGATATTTTACCAACTTATTAGAAGATATCCAACATATTGGATTCATTGTTACGACACTAGAAGATCTCAAGTTATATATTCATCAGGGGGAGAAAATACGCGCTGCACTCTTTTTCCCTTGACCATGGTTTTGTCCCAAATTGGGTTTTCCTGGTAAGGTTTTTAATGAGGCAGCATCTCGAGCGTATTACGAAGAATGATGTACTCTTTTTCTTTCACTATGTTTTTATCCCACAGGGTTTTTCGTAGTAAGGTTAATGAGGCACAATCTTTGATAATGGACATCCAAGGGGGAGTGTTATGAAATATTTGTGGATATCCATTATCCTCCTTTGTGTCATTCCGGAACAATCTAGATCTAGGGTTTATATTCTTATCCAATCAAACCCTAATATATTGTATGTATATATACACCTATACAGATTTATTCTCTATCAATCTCTCTTATATTTCTCTCTATTTTCATAACATCATCAACCATTATTCAATTTAATTGCTTGGTAGATTACTAAAATTAATAAAGAGCCAAATACCATCAAACCTAGAGGCCTCAATTCAAATATCTGAGTTAGGTTTAGGTAGCTTGAGTCGGATATATTTCAAAATTGAGTTATATGCTAAATTATTGTGTCATATGAATCGAAATCTGCATTGAGTTTTTTTAGATCAATTCAGGTCAGTCAGATCAAATTTTAACACCTTATTCAACCCCATATAACTAGGACCTTTTTTATAATAATATACCGGAGTAACATCAAAACAATTAAAATAAATAAAGTCAGGCTTATTTGGGGCACTTAATCACATGATTAAAATAATATGAAATACATACTTAAAAAATTTATAATCTACTGCAAAATTCTAGGGGTATGTGCTTTGCCTTGTTTATTGCTTCCTTGCTTCCGTTACCCACTTGCACAACGTACCAAATCCCATGTTCTAATTTAATTTTTTATTATGAGCTTCTTAGTTCTATAAATAGATGCCAAATCACATAAATTACACCAAATTCATTACTTTAAACTTTCATTTTTCAACAATTCAATCATGATAAACTTTAAAAATCTTGTTCCTCTCATTTATGTCATACTATTGGTAAACACATATTATTTCCAACTAGTAGAGTCATGCCATGCTATAGACAAAGCAGCATTACTTGATTTCAAACACAAAATCACTGACGACCCGTCCCAGCTCCTCGGCACTTGGGTGTCCATAACCGACTGCTGCACCGCGTGGGAGGGTGTCGATTGCAACCCCGCCAACGGACGAGTAGTAAACGTGTCTCGGTCCGGCCTCCAATCCGGTGACGACTTTATATTGGACACTTCCATGTCAGGTACACTCTCCCCTTTACTTGGTAACCTTGCCTACCTTCAACTCCTTGACCTTAGTAACCTTAAAGAGTTGACCGGTCCTATACCACCTCAACTAGGTAAATTGTCTCATTTGACCCATCTTTATCTTAACCTTAATAAGCTTAATGGTTCACTACCCTCTTCTTTAGGTGGTTTACATAAGCTAAAGGCGCTATATTTAGGCCAAAATAGCCTCTCTGGTGCCATACCAAGCTCGATTTTTCGATCATTGACATCAATTTTGGAATTAAGTTTTGGAGAAAATGTATTATCTGGTCCAATACCATCTTCAATTGTTAATATGATTCAACTTATTAGGCTAGATCTTCATAAAAACGAACTCTCCGGTAGGATCCCTTCTGATATTGGCAAATTAAAGAGACTAACAAATTTGGATTTGTCCATGAATCAAATTGGAGTTAACATACCTTATTCTATAGGTAAACTAGCCCAATTACGCGATTTGTCCCTAGACTACAACAAACTCACCGGACCAATCCCTTCTTCAATAGGCCAGCTTATTTCATTGCGTGTATTAGGCCTTGCTAACAATAAATTATCCGGTGTTTTACCGAAAACCATTGGTAATCTTCCAAATATCCAACATATAACATTAGAAAACAACATGATCACTGGCCGTCTACCACCAAGTCTAGGACATCTTACTACATTAATCAACATGTTATTTTCAAACAACCGGTTTGTCGGTCCAATACCGAGAAGTTTTGGCAATCTAAAGAGCCTAATGGCCTTAGATTTGTCGAAAAATCAACTTGTTAGTCCCCTCCCTCATCAACTTACTAAAGTTAAGGATTTGCAAATACTTGATTTGTCTTACAATCCACTTGGTCTAGTAAATGTACCAACTTGGTTGTCCAAAATTAATCTGTTTCGGCTAATGTTAGCCAAGACGGGGCTTAAAGGCGAGCTACCCTCGTGGTTGTCCTCCTCCTCGATAGGTTACCTCGATTTATCGAGCAACAAACTCTCCGGGAAGTTGCCAACATGGATAGGAAACATGACACAGTTATGGTTCCTAAACATATCTTATAACGGATTCTACTCAACCATTCCACAAGAATTCAAGAATCTTTTATTACTCTCAGATCTTGATCTTCACTCAAACAAGTTCTCAGGTCCCTTGGATCTTATTTTCGATAAAAACGTGGATGAGCCACGAGGGCATTACAACTCTATTGACTTGTCTAGTAACATGTTCACGGGTCCAATTGATAAAAATGTTGGTAACAAGCTCGCTATGGACTCGATCACTTCCTTGATCTTGTCAAATAATCAATTGGGAGGATCGATACCAAACTCGATAGTGAACTTGACACAATTGCAAGTATTGGAATTGGTACGCGACGGGCTATCAGGACCAATCCCAGAAGAAATTGGAAATGCTAAGGAATTGAAGACAATCAAGTTGTCTAGGAATTACTTGAATGGGAGTATTCCAGAAAAAGTGATAAATCTGGAAAACTTATCAATATTTGAAGTGTTGAGAAATAAATTGAGTGGCGAAATTCCAGCACATAAGGCTAATTTCCCTGCTTCGGCATTTTTTGGTAATCCTGGTCTTTGTGGTGTGCCACTTCCTCCTTGTAACCTTTCATAGACGTTATTTAAATTTTATTTTTGATTCATTTTGTAATCTAATCTATAACTGTATCTGCAATTGTAATTGTAATATTGGTTATTTAATCAGCAAAATTAATAAATGATTATTTATTTTGTATTACTTTAAAAATTTGTGTCTTGATAATGTAGTGCGATTGATTAAAGAGTAAAATAACAAAGTTTGAATAAAGTGGTATATTTCCAAAGGTAAAACTGTCGATCAAATAAGCAAATAATGGAATGATCTGAGCAAAACAGATAAGCTTAATCCTTCCAACATACCAATCAACGCACTCACCCCTTCACACAACATAAATAAATTAATTAATTAAATATATAAAATAAAAGTTTTGCTCGATCTACTTCATCTATACTGCTTTAATAATGGACTATGCTGCAACGATCACTGTCGTCTGTCGAATAATCTACTCAAATACTGTTACGTGTTTAAACTTGTTGAGTTGAATTCCACTACATCTATAAACTTATACTAAAGGCGAAACTTGAAATTGGAATGACACTTGTCATTTCCTGGTTATAAAATTTCCCGCCTTTTTTTCCTTTTCTATTTTTTTTAATTTTTTTTATTTATTTTTTTATTGCCATAATAGTTATTTCCATTTTAACAACATATTTAATCTGATTACACTAAATTTTTTTATATATATTTTTTATAAACTAGGAACTTTTTAGCTACAAAAATATTAACATCTATCTATAAACTTATACTAAAGGCGAAACTTGGAATGACACTTGTCATTTCCTGGTTATAAAATTTCCCGCCTTTTTTTCCTTTTCTTTTTTTTTTTAATTTTTTTTATTTATTTTTTTATTGCCATAATAGTTATTTTCATTTTAACAACATATTTAATCTGATTACACTAAATTTTTTTATATATATTTTTTATAAACTAGGAACTTTTTAGCTACAAAAATATTAACATCTATCTATAAACTTATACTAAAGGCGAAACTTGGAATGACACTTGTCATTTCCTGGTTATAAAATTTCCCGCCTTTTTTTCCTTTTCTTTTTTTTTTTAATTTTTTTTATTTATTTTTTTTATTGTCATAATAGTTATTTCCATTTTAACAACATATTTAATCTGATTACACTAAATTTTTTTATATATATTTTTTATAAACTAGGAACTTTTTAGCTACAAAAATATTAACATCTATCTATAAACTTATACTAAAGGCGAAACTTGGAATGACACTTGTCATTTCCTGGTTATAAAATTTTCCGCCTTTTTTTCCTTTCCTTTTTTTTAATTATTTTTTATTGCCATAATAGTTATTTCCATTTTAACAACATATTTAATCTGATTATACTAAATTTTTTAATATATATTTTTTATAAACTAGGAAATTTTTAGCTACAAAAATATTAACATAGATTAAAATAAGGTATTGTAATATATCATTTTTCAAGATTATCATAATATTATCAACATCAATTTTTTTCTCCAACTTTTATCATTTGATAATAAAATTTATTTTAATTAAAAAAGAAAAATCATTTGGTAGCATACTTTGTATATTCTTGAAATTACATAACGTTTATAAGAACAAAATCTCTGTTATAGCATACATGTATATTTTTTATACAATCCAATCTTTACGTATTTGGTATTGGTATAAACTAAAATTCAAGTTATTTTGTTACAAATAATTTTTTTAGATGAATTAATGTTGAATTTACACCATTATTTATAATTTATTTGTTGTAAAATTTTATTAAGACCGTGCATGGCACGGGACTTAACCTAGTATTCTACTAAAGATAATATACTCCCTACCGCTCATAGTTAGATACTTATTACATGTAACACGGTATTCAATGCACAATTTTATTTTTTTTTAACACTAAAACACAACTTTAACAATCAACATCTTTGATTAGAAATTAACCAAAATTTATAAAAAAAATTAAAAAAAAATGTTTATATTATAAAACTACACATAGAAACCTGTATATCTAACGATATCTTACATGACCATTTTTTTCATATATTAATGAAAATATGCGGTCAAAATTATAAGTTCCACCATGAAAATAGAAAGTCACTTAATTTTAGAACAAAGGAAGTAAAAAAAATGTAATTAGTTTAATAGATGGTGAGTCAATGCCTATGTACTATGTTTATAATTACTTATAAATATCTAGTGTATAAGTTAAATTATGAATATTGTAAGTTAGTCAAAGATTGCTTGGGTTTAGACATAGATAAAATATTTTATTACCTTAAGTTTCTTAAACAAGTTGAGTCAAAGATCCATAATATGTGAAAAATTTTACTAATTTATTTATGAAGTTAGAATTTTAGTTCTTTTTTCTCTATTCTCTCTCCTCTCTTCTCTCTCCTCTTTCTTCTAGGGTTTTAATTTTCTTGGCCGTTTAGGCCGAAAATAGTCTAATTTCTTCGAAAATTAGATTATTTCCGACCCTTTTTCTTTAATTCAATTTAGTTTTTTGTTTTGTTTTACGATTTGGTTTATTTGTTTGTTTTGTTCACTCCATCTGTGAGAGTTTTTCCCAATTTTCTGGGTTTTTTCCAATTTTCTGGGATTTTGATTCTCATCTATGGATGAGAATTTTATTTTTAGGATTCTTATAATAATTGGGAAGGTGATTTGGATTCCTATGGGTCTGGGATTTGTCATCAACCGGTCGATCAAAACATCAGCGCAGATTGCGGAGGTCTCAACTTGGAAAGATGCAAAGATATCGAAAATCATTGCTCGCGTCAAGCTTGAGGCGATGGAGTATGAGCTATGCCAAATATGCAAATTAGTTATGATTTTGATTGTAAAAGTTATGATATTTTCTCTAAATCTGTGGTTTACATATCCTTGTTATTGTAGATGTCGTATGGCTTTTATTTAATGATATTATTTTTCCCGTTAAAAAAAAAAGTTCCATAATATGTGGTGTGTTTAGTGTACGGCAGTAGCGTAAATGCTCAACATAGAGGATGGAGACAGACATTAGTACATTACAGTCAGGCCCGTTTCTGAGATTTCGGTGGCCTGGGGCAAAAACTTAAATCGGGGCCCTAATTCACGTATACTATATAAAATTTTTAAAAATTGGGTATGCAAAATGAAAATGCATATTTTATTATAGTTAATAATCTTTAAAAAATCAAATTTCATAAAACATTGAAATTACATTCCCGTAACTCTCGTTGAAGTAATTACACCAGCCGAACCATTCAAACTAAGTATTCAATCAATTAATTAGATTTTTTTTCCTCAAATTAAGTATTCATCAAGATTTTTGTTGTGTTGTACAATACACACTTGTTGCTTTCTTTCTTTTTTTTTTTTTTCAAATGTATATATAAGTAATACTCCCTCCGTTTTTAAATACTTGCTCCATTTCTATTTTTTGCACTATTCATTTATCCTACTTTGACTAATGTTTGTGATTTATACCTAAGAAAAAATATATACTTGTTGGAATTATCTCGATGAATAAATTATTAATTTTCAATTATTAGAAGTTATACCTATTGATAATTAAAGATATTAGTGATCAAAGATTAGCATTGACATGCGTGTCCAAGATAAATAGAGCAAGTATTTAAAAACGGAGGGAGTACTATTTAGTATGAAATACTACCTCCGCTTCATATTTTTTTGCAACTTTGGGTATTTTTTGTGATATAAAATATTACAAAGTTGCAAAAAAATATGAAACAGAGGTAGTATTTATTTTGGGGCCTTGTATTGTATTGAAGCTGGGCTTTTTAACAAGGGGCCCAGAGCAGCCGCCCCAGCTGCCCTCCCCTTGCTACGGCCCTGACGTAAGTACGTAACTACTCTTCACCCACTTGGGTAGTTACTTCCACATCAGCCAAACCCATTAAATTAGAGAAAAAATAGAATAAAATGGCTTGATTATTATTTAAGGTTGAGTGTTTATACAAACCTAATATCATACGATTACAATCTTTCTAAAAGAAATACTAGCATAACCATAAATCCTAAAAATATATTCTCTAAATAATATCTTAACATAAAATAAATCTAAATATATTATTATTTTAATTAATAAGATCAATATATATTTTCCTATATCTTATATCTCTAACATATTCACATTTCATTAAAAAAAAAAAAAAAAAGTTCTAACTTAACAAATCATCTCGTGGCTGGTGCATTAATATTGTCTTTTCGTATTTTTATTAACCTTTTATTTTCACATTATAAAGTTTTTATCGAACCCAATTAAGTTTACATCAACAGCTTCTTCGATCGACCATCAGAAAATCTGCTCGTCTTTCACAATATCAAGGTACTTCTTAATTCATACGAGTACATTATTAGTTTCTTGTAAAATATTAAATTATATACGTAGTAATTTTTTTTTTTTTTTTTTATCTTAGCTTGTTATTGCCATATGCGCCGTGTTTGTTTTCACAATTTCACATATTCTTGAATTAGGGCTATAGGAGATGATCTCAAAACCTAGGTCTTATTTTGGGAATTGAGATCTTTCTATGAAGTTCAAAACACCAATTTCATAATATAATATATTACTTAAGAATTCGATCTCAAATTCAATTATTTGTTAACTTGTTCGATTAGGCTCTTATTTTAGTCCTATACACGGCTACACCGGACATGCTCCTAAAAGGTTATGAATTTATACATATTTTTTATTTTAACGGAGTAATTTAATTAAATTTCTTAGAGGGCAGAGCATTATTGTTTAACACGTTGATGATTAGATTACTTGGGAAACCGGCTTAGCATCTTATCAATATCGCCATGAATACATCTATATGCTTAAAAACCGCGTTTTGTAATCATATTAGTTCACATAATACAAATTCATTGATAATCGATTGTGTATCACTTTATTTGTTTAGCATTAATGTGTACCTATTGTCGTTTTTTAAATGCGTTTCAGACACCATGTTATCGGAAAAGACGAGGAAGTCAGTTGAGAATCCACACCATGACAAGTTAAGTAGTCTTCCTGACAATTTGATTGAAACTATCTTAATGTATATGTCAATAAAAGAAGCAGCAAAGACTAGTATCTTATCTAGACAATGGCGGTATAAGTGGACTACGATTCCAGTTCTTAATTTCAATCTTGAAAGCCTCAATATTCCTATAAGGGCTGTAACAGCGATTGATGATCAATCTGGTGTCGATAAATATAACCATATCATCAACACTGTTCTAAAACAACATTCTGGTAATGTTCAAAAGATCAAAATGACCATTATCAACAAAAAACGTCGTAATGATGATTTACAAGTGCCTAATGAATTTAGATGGATACAGGAATTAATCTTGGGTTACAATCTCAAAATTTCATATAATTTGCCACCTTTCATATTTTCTTGTAAATCACTTGAAGTTTTACGCCTTGAATGTTGCATTTTTACGTCTCCTCTATCTATGATCGCGTTACCCAAGCTCAAGACCCTTGACTTGAGAAATGCCACTTTTCGTCCCAGTTGTTTGGAGTCGCATATATCTCAATGCCCTTTACTTGAAAATTTGCGTCTATATGATGTTGAAGGGATTGTAGATTTAACACTCGATGCTCCAATGCTCAAGTCATGCGTTTTGAAAGGAGCATTCGAGTCCATTCACCTCAATAACGCTACTTTACTCTCTTTCCTATACCTTTGTCCTTACCGTATTTTTAGAAGATATTTGGATTATTTTCAACCATTGGATTATTTTCAATCGTTTTTTCAATTGAAAGCGTTGAGAGAATTGGAGGTCCATAGCGAATCAATACAGGTACCTTAGACTCTAACAAATATTCTTACCTTTGTATCAATAACCATTTTCGAGTTATGTATTTGATGATGCGGTATATTTTGTCAAGAATTTATTTGCAGGAAACTGCCCTGAAGCACGGGTTAAGAACTTACCTGAACTACAAGAGTTAACGGTATATGAATTTTCTCCTGGAGATTTAAGTATGGTGTCCAGTCTGTTTAGCCTGATTAGAAGTTGCTCAAACCTTCAATATCTCGAAATTCATGTAAGTTGAAGAGTGATTTTCGTCGTTTTACCAAGTCATTGAAAGAAAAGTTATTAGTTTCTCATGATCATTCATTTTTCTTAGGTGAAGGATTCTATTTCCAGTATCTTGCCTTCTTTAGAAAACTTCTTGAAGGCTATGGGAGACACTCCGAAATGCTTCCAACACGTAAAATCGATACATCTTGTAGGGATCTATGGAACAATGTACGAGATGGAATTATTAAAATTTCTACTCATCAACTCCCCTTCTTTAGGAAAGATGATTGTAAAGTCCATACATAAAGATACTTGCAAAGAACACACCACATTGTTGAAGGATTTGCTCAGTTTCAATCGAGCTTCATGCACAGTACAAATTATACTTCTTAGCCGACAGGTAAATTGAATTGATCAATTTTATTTATTTATTTTTTTTCCTGATGATTTAGCGCGTTTTTTTTTTTTTTTTCTTCTTCTGATGATTTAGGCAAAATTGGCTTCAATAGCATAAACTTTAAACAAGGTGCCCGGACCTTAACTAGTAGGTGTAGTAGCACCAGAAACTTTTTATTTGGGTGCAATAAATGAAATCCGGCATTTGAGATTCTGTCAAAGACCATTTTTTAGTTCAAATTTGCCCCTTAAGGTCCTGATTGACTTCAAAACCTTAACCAAAGTGTTTTAGCAAATCGATGCCTTCATGCCTTTTGGTACATTTTTTATAAATTTGATCTTAAATTTTATTGAGATAAAAATGACACTTGGAACCTGAACATATCAATTTTCTCACATGCCAATCGAGGCACGTCAAGGCGATTTTGATGTACTAAAATGGTATTAAATATTCTCCATCTTCGACTAAATCTCTAATAATATTGGGTTTCATTTGTGATATTTTGTGCACTTGATGGTGAAGAAGTTTTGCTTGCTGCAACTACTAGTTGAAATTCTTGTTTATTAAAAAGTTGTGATGTTAAGGCCAAGATTGCCTTTAATTGAAGGTTATCATATGTAATTAGGTGCGAATTTAGCAAATTTTGCATCCGAGTGTGCCATTTAATTGCATACTTTGATAGTGATAGAATATATATATATATATATATATATATATATATATATATATATATATATATAGAGTGTGGATCACGTGAAAACAAGATTAAAACTGAAAACTGAAAACATGCAATCTCTACCCTAGATTATGATCTATTACTCACCCCTCATCTAACGGTTCAGATTTTTCCCCCAAATTAAAGCAAAATGATAGCAATTTCTCTCTCCTCCTTCATTTGCACGTAACTTTTTCCTCCTCTATTTTCTCTCTCCTACTTTCTCTCTGCTACTTTCTCTCTCCTACTTTTCCAATTCTTCTACCAATTTCATGCTACTAATTCAAATCTAGCTTCAATTACTTTGATTTTCAGCAATTTCTTAGCTCTACAATCTATTATCAAGTAAGTTATTTGTGTTAATTTCGTTATTTTGCTTGATTTGAGTACTTAATTTCGTAATTTTTGTTTCACTTTTTCAACCAAATTTAACTCGTTTTTGCTAGATTTTGATTCATTTCATTGATTTTGAGTTTTGTTTTTTTTGGATTGAAATTGCAGTAAATCGTTGATTAAGCAGACGAGAACTCGAATCAAAGTTGTCCGACGAATGAAATGCGACGGAGAAGTTTTTGAGGAAAGACATTGCTGATCTGCTTGCTAATGACCTCGAGAAGAACGCTTATGGAAGAGTGAGTGTGTTTTTCCGTTATTTTTTTAGCTTAACGATTTGAATTTTGATAATTGATGAATTTTTTTAATGTTTATTTGAATTTTTCCATTGTACATATGATGAAAAATGTTGGTGCATCAGAATATTGTATTGTCTTTGTTTATATTTTAATTTTGTCGATTAATTTTGACCGAAAAGCATGTTTGCTTGAATTTTGCGAGAGTTGAATTATTCATTTCTATTGAATTTGTAATTTGACTGTCAACATTTGAGGTGTTACTTAGGTCTAAAATTAATCTTCTAATGAGTAAATTAGGTTTGAGTAAATTAGAAAATCATAGGAGTACATCTTTTTATTTTCTTAGTCATAGGAGTATATGTTTAGAACTAATGGCAGAAGCTCCATTAGAAGCCTTGCCAATTTGCTAGAAGCGAGTTGAATACCCCTTAAGCTTCTTCATCCATTACAGGAGTATTGAACATGTTTTAAAGATTATGAACACCAGGGTTGCAAACTGGAAATTTCTCCTCGTTGTTTTGATACCTGTCTGATTTATTGAACTGTTCAACATGATATAGCGTTTAAGTTTGGTATGAAATTTCTGCAATTCTGTTATCTTAGGATTATTTGCTTAGGAATTAGGACTTGTTTAATATGTTTCTTCCGGATGTCAATTGATGGCCTTGTATTGGCACTTGGGGAATGGTTTATGATAGTGTATTGATGTTGTACTAGTACTTCTGCTCTGGCTCTTAGAATTCTTTTTTTTTATCTATTGTTCAGTCATTTGCTGTACTGATTCCATCTTTTTCAATAATAGTGTGTCCGTTCAAGTGATATATGGCTTACGTTGTTGTTATATCTGTATTGACTAAGCCTTGAATAATGTCCAACAGCTTATAGAATGTGTTTGATGCTTTGATATGTATGAATCACGTGTTGCATTTCTGCATTTTTCTGGTTTACACTTAATTGACATTTGATGCCTGAATTATATTACAATGTATAAATTTTCTGTGAGCTGTTAACTTTGTTCCATTCCAGCTATTAAAATTCTGTTGCTTTTTGTGTTTTATTGCCTTCTAAATTTTGGATTTTCTTACATTGGTAATGGTGATAGTTACATTGTGTTTTTGGCTTGTTGCTAATCAATCACCCTTTCATTATTTCAGTGCAAGTTCTGTGGCAGGGAGGGTACTATTACAATGTTACCAAAATCTGGCTGCTATCTAACAGGTGATGACTGACTGTGAAGCAGGAAAGTTTGTCCGTTTGATGAGCTTTGACTGTCGGGTTTGGAGCCAGTGGACTACTCCTTTGGTGGTGACAAGGAGGAGCAGCAGAAATTATCTTATGATAAGGAGCAGCAGGAGAAGTTATCTGATGACAAGGAGGCCGGAGAAGGAGAAGTTATCTGATGATAGTTACCTTACTTTTGTAAATAGTGACATCTATATAAATATGGTCAATGTTGTCAAAATTTATATAATTACCTTATTTTTATATATAGTGACCTTCGTTATTTTTATATATAGTGGCCTCTGTATAAATGTGGTCAAAATTGATATAGTTACCTTATTTTTGTATATAGTGACCTTTATGTAAATATGCTCAAAATTGATATAGTTACCCTATTTTTGTATATAGTGACCTCTAAGTAAATATTCTAAAAATTGATATAGTTATCTTATTTTTGTATATAGTGACCTTTATGTAAATATGATCAAAATTTATATAGCTATCCTATTTTTGTATATAGTTACGTTATTTTTATATATAGTGACTTTATGTAAATATCGTCAATTTAGATAAAGTTACCTTATTTTAGCATGTAGTGACCTTTAAAACGTTGCGTTTGTCAAAAAAAAAAAACAGAGCTTATGGTGAAAACTAAAAACAAGCAATCTTAGCCATTCATTACTAGCACAAAAGATCAGACGGTTCTAAAGCCCTAAGATCATTCCAACCTTACATATAATCAATTCAACTGTTTTAAAGGTTTTTTTTTTTTTTTTTTTTTTTTTTTGACAAACGCAACGTTTTAAAGGTCACTACATGCTAAAATAAGGTAACTTTATCTAAATTGACGATATTTACATAAAGTCACTATATATAAAAATAACGTAACTATATACAAAAATAGGATAGCTATATAAATTTTGATCATATTTACATAAAGGTCACTATATACAAAAATAAGATAACTATATCAATTTTTAGAATATTTACTTAGAGGTCACTATATACAAAAATAGGGTAACTATATCAATTTTGAGCATATTTACATAAAGGTCACTATATACAAAAATAAGGTAACTATATCAATTTTGACCACATTTATACAGAGGCCACTATATATAAAAATAACGAAGGTCACTATATATAAAAATAAGGTAATTATATAAATTTTGACAACATTGACCATATTTATATAGATGTCACTATTTACAAAAGTAAGGTAACTATCATCAGATAACTTCTCCTTCTCCGGCCTCCTTGTCATCAGATAACTTCTCCTGCTGCTCCTTATCATAAGATAATTTCTGCTGCTCCTCCTTGTCACCACCAAAGGAGTAGTCCACTGGCTCCAAACCCGACAGTCAAAGCTCATCAAACGGACAAACTTTCCTGCTTCACAGTCAGTCATCACCTGTTAGATAGCAGCCAGATTTTGGTAACATTGTAATAGTACCCTCCCTGCCACAGAACTTGCACTGAAATAATGAAAGGGTGATTGATTAGCAACAAGCCAAAAACACAATGTAACTATCACCATTACCAATGTAAGAAAATCCAAAATTTAGAAGGCAATAAAACACAAAAAGCAACAGAATTTTAATAGCTGGAATGGAACAAAGTTAACAGCTCACAGAAAATTTATACATTGTAATATAATTCAGGCATCAAATGTCAATTAAGTGTAAACCAGAAAAATGCAGAAATGCAACACGTGATTCATACATATCAAAGCATCAAACACATTCTATAAGCTGCTGGACATTATTCAAGGCTTAGTCAATACAGATATAACAACAACGTAAGCCATATATCACTTGAACGGACACACTATTATTGAAAAAGATGGAATCAGTACAGCAAATGACTGAACAATAGATAAAAAAAAAGAATTCTAAGAGCCAGAGCAGAAGTACTAGTACAACATCAATACACTATCATAAACCATTCCCCAAGTGCCAATACAAGGCCATCAATTGACATCCGGAAGAAACATATTAAACAAGTCCTAATTCCTAAGCAAATAATCCTAAGATAACAGAATTGCAGAAATTTCATACCAAACTTAAACGCTATATCATGTTGAACAGTTCAATAAATCAGACAGGTATCAAAACAACGAGGAGAAATTTCCAGTTTGCAACCCTGGTGTTCATAATCTTTAAAACATGTTCAATACTCCTGTAATGGATGAAGAAGCTTAAGGGGTATTCAACTCGCTTCTAGCAAATTGGCAAGGCTTCTAATGGAGCTTCTGCCATTAGTTCTAAACATATACTCCTATGACTAAGAAAATAAAAAGATGTACTCCTATGATTTTCTAATTTACTCAAACCTAATTTACTCATTAGAAGATTAATTTTAGACCTAAGTAACACCTCAAATGTTGACAGTCAAATTACAAATTCAATAGAAATGAATAATTCAACTCTCGCAAAATTCAAGCAAACATGCTTTTCGGTCAAAATTAATCGACAAAATTAAAATATAAACAAAGACAATACAATATTCTGATGCACCAACATTTTTCATCATATGTACAATGGAAAAATTCAAATAAACATTAAAAAAATTCATCAATTATCAAAATTCAAATCGTTAAGCTAAAAAAATAACGGAAAAACACACTCACTCTTCCATAAGCGTTCTTCTCGAGGTCATTAGCAAGCAGATCAGCAATGTCTTTCCTCAAAAACTTCTCCGTCGCATTTCATTCGTCGGACAACTTTGATTCGAGTTCTCGTCTGCTTAATCAACGATTTACTGCAATTTCAATCCAAAAAAAACAAAACTCAAAATCAATGAAATGAATCAAAATCTAGCAAAAACGAGTTAAATTTGGTTGAAAAAGTGAAACAAAAATTACGAAATTAAGTACTCAAATCAAGCAAAATAACGAAATTAACACAAATAACTTACTTGATAATAGATTGTAGAGCTAAGAAATTGCTGAAAATCAAAGTAATTGAAGCTAGATTTGAATTAGTAGCATGAAATTGGTAGAAGAATTGGAAAAGTAGGAGAGAGAAAGTAGCAGAGAGAAAGTAGGAGAGAGAAAATAGAGGAGGAAAAAGTTACGTGCAAATGAAGGAGGAGAGAGAAATTGCTATCATTTTGCTTTAATTTGGGGGAAAAATCTGAACCGTTAGATGAGGGGTGAGTAATAGATCATAATCTAGGGTAGAGATTGCATGTTTTCAGTTTTCAGTTTTAATCTTGTTTTCACGTGATCCACACTCTATATATATATATATATATATATATATATATATATATATATATATGCTATATGGTTACAATATATACTCTGTATTAATTAAGTATGACCTTGATATATTATACAGGAGCTTCTACCTACAGAAAAGGTGTCACGTGCCTTATTTTCTTGGAAGCGGAGATGGGTATAAGTTAATCATATGGTGTTACCACAATGATGGTTTTCAACAACACTCGAAGAATACTAGGTATATTGGAATTTTATTTGAAATTTTTGGGTGCACTAGAAAATTTATTTTTAAACTGTATGATTCAATTACTTGAAATATTCGAATTCGATCCAATTTTGTGAGCTTATAAAAAAAACAGATTGGATATTCTAAATTCCAGATGAATTTATTTGACTAGATGACGACCCATTTTGCCGAGATAGAATTTCAATTTGTTTCTCTTGTCGAAATATCAAAAAATTTCAAAGAATCCATCTGGAAGCAATTAAGCAATACATAAACACCCCCTTGTATAGTTGTTTACAGTATATAAAAATAAAATCTGAGAATAGAAGCAACTTGATCACAAAATAGAATAATCATACTCAACTAGTAGTAATCTATTCCCTTTGTGTTACTTCCATTTGCCCAACTTAAAAACCCACGTTCTAACCTTCACTATAATTAGATGCATAATTTCTCCATAAAACGCATCAAATTCATTGCTAGAACTAAACTTCATCAATTCTTCATACGTTAATCATGTTGAAAGACATAAATTTTCTTCCTATAATATACATTGTACTCTTGGTTAACTCAAATTTTTACCAATTAGTAGAATCTTGTCATGCTATTGACAAAGAAGCATTGCTTGATTTCAAGCATAGAATCACTTATGATCCATCAAAGCTCCTCGGCTCATGGCTCACAACCACGGACTGCTGCACCGCGTGGGAGGGCATTGCTTGTGACCCTTCCAACGGACGAGTAATAAACATTTCTCGCCCTAGCGCCATGGAAACCTTCATGTCAGGTACACTCTCCCCTTTCCTAGGCAACCTCACCTACCTTCAAGTCCTCGACCTTAGCGACCTTAGCGAGTTAAGTGGTCCGATACCACCTCAACTAGGTAAGTTGTCTCATTTAACCATTCTTTTCTTAAACAATAATAAGCTAAATGGTTCACTACCCTCTTCTTTTAGTTACCTTCATAAGGTAAAAAAGCTCTGTTTAAGCCGAAATAGCCTCTCTGGCACCCTTCCTTACTCTGTCTTTCAATCATGGACTTCGATTTTGGAAATAGATCTTTCAGAGAATCAATTTTTGGGCCCAATACCATCTTCAATTTCAAACATGAATTCACTAACTAATCTTGCACTTCAATACAACAAACTCTCTGGTAGAATTCCCTACAAGATTGGCAAACTAAAGAGTCTAACAAAGCTATTGTTAACATCGAATCGTATCACTGGAAGTATACCTCATTCAATAAGTAAACTCTCCCAATTACAAGATTTGTCCCTTAACCTAAACAGACTTATTGGACCGATCCCATCTTCAATAGGACAGCTTGCATCTTTGCTAATATTAGATCTTAGTCACAATAAATTAACCGGTGTTTTACCAGATTCCCTAGGCAATCTTTCGAAATGTTTTTATATGAACATACAGAACAATATGATCACAGGTCATCTACCACCAAGTCTAGGCAATCTAGTGAGCCTTGAGCAACTAGATTTGTCGAAAAATCAACTAGTAGGTCCAATTCCTCATGAACTTAATAAGATAAAAGATTATTTGTCAGTACTAAATTTGTCATACAATCCACTTTCTTTAGGGAAAATACCTAGCTGGATGTCGAAGCTTAATAATCTTAGTTATCTAATGTTAGCCAAGACGGGGCTCAAAGGCGAGCTACCCTCGTGGTTATCATCCTCACTATTAGTCCATCTCGATTTGTCGAGTAATGAACTCACAGGGAGATTGCCTACATGGATAGGAAACATGAGTGATTTGTGGTACCTTAACATATCTTGTAACAAATTCTACTCCACCATTCCAAAAGAATTCAAGAATCTGGTATCAATCACAGATCTCGATCTTCACTCAAACAACTTCTCAGGTCCCCTGGATTTTATTTTTGACAAGAACGTCGATGGACCACTAGGACATTACAACTCCATCGATGTTTCTAGGAACAAGTTCACAGGTCCTATCGACAAAAATGTTGGAAACAAGCTCGCCGTGAACACGATAAGTTCATTGATTTTGTCAAATAATCCATTGGGAGGACGGATACCCAAGTCCATAGGCAACTTGACCCAATTGCGAATGTTGGAGATGGTGCGCGACAAGCTTTCAGGGACGATCCCAGAGGAGATTAGTAATGCTGATACTTTGAGGATTATTAATTTTTCGAGGAATTACTTAACCGGAAGGATTCCAAAGAAGGTGATTAATTTAGAGTGGTTAGAAGAGTTTAAAGTCATAAGAAATAAATTGAGTGGCGAAATTCCAGCACATAAGGCTAATTTCTCTGCTTCGGCATTTTTTGGTAATCCTGGTCTTTGTGGTGTGCCACTTCCTGCTTGTAAGCAAGTTTAGTTATTATGATTCATAGTTACAAGTTGATTACGTTTTGTTTTTGATACTTCTTACTATGTGTTATTATGAAATTGTAACTGTGTGATTGTAACAGGCTAAATTGAACTTTAATGACATGAATTATTGTTAATTTGCCTAATACATATTCCACAACTACTATTTTTATCCTACACTATTTTTAGTCTAAAATTGTCGATGTCCCGCTATCAAATTCAGGGAATTTATTAAGTTGCTCGTCAAAACACATATGACCATCTTATTTTCTCCGTTTTTTATTATTGCACCATACAAGTTGGGCACAATTATTTTGATAGTGAGAAAAAGGAAGAGATAGAAAGGTAAAAATACAAAAATGTCTATATGATGTTATGATAAAGTAAATAATAAGTGTGAAAAAGTAAGGATAATTAAACGGGCTAGATTGAATACTTTATCTATTACAATACTAGTAGCGACTAGGATTTAAATACAAACTAATCAATACTTCGTATAAAACTAGTTGCTAATATAGGCAATTATTGACCAATATTTGTACTACTACGTACTAAATCCACCAATCCTTTCACGTGGAATGGGAGAGAAATCCGTAAATTGTACTGCTCTCAGTTTTATCACACTCCATCAAATATATAATGCAGAGATTAGTAAGTCAATTCAAAGGCAGATCAGATTAGTAAGCTTAATAATACCGACCATAATTCAATTCAAAGGCTTATTAATGAAAAATAAAATGTAATTATAATTTATAGTGGCACCTAGTTATCCACATACTTCGTACATTACAACTTTCTCAGCTCTTTCAAGTCATGGGTTTGACCCAACATGATCCCATTTATTCAGTGGGTTGAGTTGGGGTTGGACTTTCAAACCCGAATCTGATAATAATATAATATAACCCCTTTGATTGTTTTTTTGCTAGCTAGGCTACTATTAATATTAAATAAATGGATCAAGTGACCCGTTTTATAAACAAGCTAAGTTGACTTCTATTATATTGAGTATATTGACAACTTGTTTACTAAACTATTCTAATTAAGATTGAGGACATTCAAATTGTAAACACTAAGCTTACACGAATTATTACCTTTGACATGATCGAGGGGTGATGGTGACCCAACACTTATAAAATCCTGGATCCGTCATTGCACGTGCCAACTCTAGAAGTAGTAACACTTGTACTATTCTATTCAACGGGCATGTGGTTTTCATTCTTAGTTATTGGTTACTTCAATCACATCCTTCTCCTCTTGTAATAACCAATTTCCTAGTTTATAAATAGATGCCTCATCTCTCCCTAAACACATCATATATTCAATGCTAAAAACCTACATTATTTCTCAATAATGAAATTCATCATAAACTTTCTTCCTCTCATTTACACCATACTCTTGATTAACACATACTATCCCCAATCAGTAGAATCCTGCCATGCCATAGACAAAGAAGCATTGCTTAATTTCAAGCACAAAATAACCCATGACCCATCACAACTCCTCCGTACATGGCTACCCAACACGGACTGCTGCACCGTGTGGGAGGGCGTCGATTGCAACCCCGTTAACGGCCGAGTAGTAAACGTGTCCTGCCCCGGAGTCCAATCAGGAGATGACTTCATATTAGACACCTCCATGTCAGGTACACTCTCCCCTTTCCTAGGTAACCTCACCTATCTTCAACTCCTTGACCTTAGCAACCTTAAGGAATTAACTGGTCCTATTCCACCTCAACTAGGTAAATTATCTCATTTAACCAATATTTTCTTAAACACTAATAAACTAAATGGTTCACTACCTTCTTCTCTAAGTGGCCTTATTAAGCTAAAAAAGCTCTATCTTAGTCAAAACCGCCTATCCGGGATCATTCCCAACTCTGTTTTGCAATCATTGAAATCGATTTCAGAGTTGGATCTTTCAGAAAACCAATTTTCAGGGCCAATACCATCTTCAGTTGTTGACTTGATTTCATTAACTAGTCTTACACTACATGATAACAAACTCTCTGGTAAGATACCTTTCGAAATTGGTAAACTAAAGAGTCTTAAAAGTTTGCATTTGTCACTTAATCGTATTAGTGGAAGCATACCTGATTCAACAGGTAAACTCTCCAAATTACAAGATTTGTCCCTTAGCCATAACAAACTCACTGGACCAATCCCGTCTTCAATGGGCAAACTTGTTTCATTGCAAGCATTAAGCCTTAGTAACAACAGATTAACTGGTGTTTTACCGAGTTCAATTGGTAATCTTCCAAAAATCCAATATATTTCCTTAGAAAATAATATGATTACAGGCAATCTACCACCAAGTCTAGGGAATCTTACTACATTAATCACCATGGTTTTTTCGAATAACCGGTTGGTAGGCCAGATACCGCGAAATTTTGGCAATCTAAAGAGCCTCATGAGCTTAGATTTGTCAAAAAATCAACTTATAGGACCAATCCCTCATCAACTTACTAAAGTTAAAGATTTGCAAGTACTTAAATCTTTCATATAATCCACTTGGTCTAGTCAAAATTCCAAGTTGGTTGTCCAAGTTAAATCTGTTTTGGCTAATGCTGGCAAAGACAGGGATTAAAGGCGAGTTACCTCGCTGGTTTTCTTCATCATCCATAGGTTATCTCGATTTATCGAATAATAAGCTCACAGGGAAGTTGCCTACATGGATAGGAAACATGAGCGAGTTGTGGTTCCTAAATATATCTTATAATGAGTTCTACTCAACCATTCCAAACGAATTCAAGAATCTTTCATTACTTTCAGACCTTGATCTTCACTCAAACAAGTTCTCAGGCCCCTTGGATTATATTTTCGATAAGAATGTGGATGAACCACGAGGGCATTACAACTCTATCGACGTGTCTAGCAACATGTTCACGGGTCCTATTGATAAAAATGTTGGTAACAAGTTGGCCATGGACTCGATCACTTCATTGATCTTGTCAAATAATCCATTGGGAGGACGGATACCCAAGTCGGTTGGAAACTTGACCCGATTGGAAGTGCTGGAAATGGTGCGCAACCGGTTTACAGGGACAATCCCTGAAGAAATTGGTAATGCTAAGGAACTTAAGACAATAAAATTGTCTAGGAATTATTTGAGTGGAAATATTCCAAAGAATGTGATAAATTTGGAAAATTTGACAGTATTTGAAGTTATAAGAAATAAATTGAGTGGTTGAAGGTTCAATGGGCACTCAAGAGGGGGGGGTGAATTGAGTGTTAAGTAATCGTTGGCTAATTTTTGCTTCTTTTCGAATTATGTGTGAGGAACCAGTTGTGCTGGTTCCCGTACGCAGCGGAATATAAATAAGCAATAAAGAAGACAACAAATTTAACGAAATAAAACAAAGCAATAAAGAACACAACAAATTTAACGAGGTTCAGCCAACTCAGGCCTACGTCCTCCTATCCTAAGTTCTTTATTAATCTACTCCGAAAAACAAAGACAAAGAACACTCTGCTGTTTCCCTACTCCGGGAACCAGCAAACCCCACACTCTACTCCGAGTATGCTCTCAACTTACCCTCGTAAGTTCTAAACGTGTTTGAACTCACAAACACTCACCCAGCCTTTAGCCTCTTTGCCAAAGACTCAATTACAAGATCAAAACTCTCTAATGATCTAACTCTCAAAAGTTAATGTAGAGAAAATATTAAACACTAAATGCTCTTGTATATAACTTGATGAATGGGATTAGTGCTTAAGTATATGCTCTCAAATAATTGCTCTTTTAATTCCTAGAGAGGCACACGAAATATGTGAAATAAGATGAGTTTATATAAGCTTAGATTCCTAAAACCTAGTTTCCTTAAATCACACAATCTTAGAGAATAAGATATATTGTAATTTTAGGAAAGTTTTTATCTTATTTGATTTAATCACAAAGATAGAATCAATTAAGATAAATACTCCTAGTTTTTAGGTAACCAAGAATATTTCATCTTATTTCCAGCTGCACAAAATATTTTCAAAATAATCTTTTCGAAAAAATCTTTTTGTAAAATCTTTTTCCAAAACGGCAGCTCGAATATTTCGTACAGTGAACCTGGTTCCCCGACCTGGTTCCCTGAATTGAAACATGTTATGAAACCTGTTCCAACTTTGTACCAGATTTCATATCATACTTCAATATACTTTTAAGCACTTATATAACCCAAACATGCAAGCATACTACGGAGCATATTACATGAAAACCTAGATAACATATTAAAGCATAAATCGTCTTTTCTTCATGTAATCTTCAAGATTTGAATCTTCCTTGAATACTTCTATTATGAGCAAACAATCTTTCTTCGAAATATCTTCGAAAGGCTTCTATGCTCCAAGTCTTGGAATCAACTCAACTACTGCACATGTAACATGGTTAATGCACAATAAAGAGTATGTGACTGCTGTACCACGTAGCAACCATGGAAACAGTACATACTGGTTCCCTACCAGTACATAACACTTTTATCATATAACTGTTCCCTGTATAAAGACAAGTTAGTTCAATAAGAAAACTCATGTAAGTAATAACTTGTCTGGGGAAACAGTGTTCTATGTTAGCTGGTTCCCCCAACTGTATCGAACACTTTCAAGGACCTGTTTCCCTTAGCTGTTTGTCATCATTCAAAACTATCAATCAAAACCTAAGGGACTCAACAAATTCCCCCTTTTTGATGATGACAAACTTTTGAAGTTCCTGAACCTGTGGACATGCTCAAAAAGAAAACCGTCAAAAACTTCAAGGACTCAAAACTCTTTGGAACAAGTCAGTTAGGCTAACTGGTCCCCTAAACAGAAAATAGAAAATACGAAATAAAAAGACTCAAACTGACTCAATCTAAACTAGCTAAACCTCAAACTGACTCAATCTAAACTAGCTAAACCTTAGGCTTCAACTTCAAACTACTTCCCCCTTTTGGCATCATTAAAAAGTATCCACAAGTAAAAGCAATGTGCACAAGTTAATGTGCTTATCCATACAATGGCATCAACCACCATTCAAGCATTATGCTGCAAAAAGAGATTAGTCAAACAGTTCATACCATAGCAGAGTTAGTAGTTCATACAAGCCAACAAAGTTCAACCAAAGAAGCCCAAATCCATCCAAAAAGAAAGTTCATGGAATGGAGAGAAGTAGACAGACCAACAAAATCAGTTATTTTAGAATAAACATGAG